GAGCGTGGAGTCGTCCCCCCTCGCCCACGGGGTGCATGTGCCAAGCCCCCAGCGGACGCCTGAAACCACGGATAGTACTGACCCCTCTGTACGCCATGTTCTTTCTATACCTCCACGCCTGTGTAAAATTCAATGTACAAGTTAGCCATAAGAGATTAACAACTAGTAATAAAGTAGAACAGTTATAACAGTGTACTGTATTAAAAGTTATGTGAATGTCGACTCTCTCAAAATATCTGTACCGCACTCAGCTTTTCACTGAAGGCAGCACTTTAACAGCCTATTTTGTCATATTTGAGCAGCCGGCATCACTGCTCTTGTACTTCGGGATTATGTGAGCACGACACTGCGACACCAGCACAGTCTATTTGGTAACTGAGACGGCTGCTAAGTGACTAATGGGTGGGGGCGTCTGCCGCAGGAAGATGCCGGACAAAGGGGTGGGCCACATCTCAGGTGAGATGGAGCAAGGTTTCCTCATGCTACTCAGAACGGCATGAGATTTAACCTTGTGAAGTGTTTATTTCAGGACTTCCCTATTTAATGTTTTAGGACCGAGGCTAACCTCAGGTCATGGAAACCGTGGAAGGCAAAACTGTGGATGGGGGTGCTACTGCGTGACATTGTTTAACTTTCCTACATTAAACCAACCTCTCACTCCTGGGATAAATCCTGCTTGTTCATTATGTGTGATCCTTCTTACATGTTGCTAGATTTAGTTGCTAGTATTTTGCTTGTCCTGCTCTCTTGTCTGAATTCTTAATGATTCGGAACTTGGTTCAGAAACATGTTGTTTATCAGGCCCCTGTAAATGCTAACAATCACCATTTTGAGAAATCCGCTCTGCTTCTCCTGTATCCCCAGGCAGCGCCTGCCACAATCCCACAGCACAGTAAGTTGCATTTATCCAATCATACCTCTATTGTCTGTTCACTTGTCATTCTCTCTGCTTCTTGAGAACAGACAATATTTTACTGCCCATTTTATTCCAATATAAACCACAAACTTTGCATGGTATAACTTGAGACCTCTGGGAAGGAGATCAACATCAGATTTTTTAAAAGATTTTATTTATTTATTTTTAGAGAGGGAAGGGAGGGAGAGAGAGAGAGAGAAAGAAACATCAATGTGCAGTTGCTGGGGGTCATGGCCTGCAACCCAGGCATGTGCCCTGACTGGGAATCGAACCTGCAACACTTTGGTTCACAGCCCACGCTCAATCCACTGAGCTACGCCAGCCAGGGCCCAACATCAGATTTTTAAAAGAACATGAGCAAAGATGGAAAGGAGATTATACACAAAGAATGAATATGAAAGAATGGCTGAGGCATGGAAAAAGAGTATCAGTAAGGCTAAAATACCAAATAAACTAAGATGTGAAGATATATTGGAAATAAGAAATAAATTTTGCTTAGCTGTATTTAGAATGAAAATATACCAACGAATGTTTAGATTTGTTCTGCTGGGATTATTTTAAAATACTGATGGGTGACGAAGAGCAGAGCCCTCAGCCTTTACACTGTTTCTGTCTTTCCTGGCAGAAAGCTTTCTTCGGACCAGAAGGAGGACGAAGGGAAGAGTAAACACTGGCACGAGATGACAGAAGTCGAAGCCTCCGCCGAATGAGTTACCTCTCGTCTCAGGCATACCGCCTGTCAAGTAAGAACAGAATTTGCATCTAAGATCACAAAACCATTGACAACAACATTTAAGAACTCAAGGAAGTGACTCTCCTCTCCCCGTTAAATGCCTAACTTGTCAGTTATGACTCCATCATAATTTAAGGATCAATTCCTTCAAGAAACCATTCCTTGAGATCAGCAGGCTGGATCAGAGCCCCGTGTGACGCACCAGCCCGACTGGAGTGCATCACTATCACTGCATCTGTCTCACTCTCACTGTAAGGAACCGAATGTGAGTCTTAGTGAACTTTAATACCTGCTCCTTAAATGAGTAGCCAGACTGGCTGACAAGAGGGAGAGTTGTGTTTTGGGCAGAGGAGACAGCATAAGCAAAGACAAGAAGGTGAGAAAACTTGTAATTTGAGGTTACAGGAAGACCGTCTTTGCAAAGGTGTTAAGTAAAAGGCAGAGAAAGGCCAGAGATAAAACTGGGGAGGCAGTCAGGGGCCAGCTCATTGGGAGTCATGTTAGAAAACTTGTTTTCTGTGCTGCAGCTGGTGGTTGTCAAGAAAACTGCTCGGGATGAATAATGGCTGGATGGGCTAGGTCCCACCAACCCTCCCTGTCACCCCCAAAGTGGGGAGCTGCAAAGTGTGGTCTGCAGATCACAGCCCCAGAATTATGTGAGGTGACGCACAGAACATGCAGAATCTGGGCTTGACAGCAGAGACCAACTCAGAATCCCAAGCTGATGCTTTCATAAGCTCCTCAGGTAATTGTCGGGTACACTAAAATGTTAAAACCGGACATTCTACAAGAAAATTGGCCCATGGTCTGTCTTCAAAGCTGCCAGTGCTGGGAATAATAGAGGCCAAGCAGCTGTTTCATATTAAAAGAGATTAAAGGGATGTGGCGATTTAATGCAATCTATGATCTCGACTCAGAGAGAGGTTTTGCTCTAAAGGACATTGTTGACACATTTGGCAAAATTTAAATGTGCTATGACAGAAAATGGTACTGTATCAAAGTTGAATGTCCTGATCCGGATGTAAGAGAGCATTCTTAGAAAATACACACCGAAGTTGTTTAGGGAAAAAGGAGCGTGATGTCTATGAAAAATTAACTGGGGGAAATAGAGGTGGGTAGGTAGATGCAGTTCTTTGTACCAAATTATTTAAAAAGCAAATGTTTAAAAAAAAATTTAAAAGAGTTACCTGGCTGGCGTAGCTCAGTGGACTGAGTGCGGGCTGCGAACCAAAGCATCGCAGGTTCGATTCCCAATCAGGGCACATGCCTGAGTTGCAGGCCACGGCCCCCAGCAACCATACATCGATGTTTCTCTCTCTCTCTCTCTCCCTCCCTTCCCTCTCTAAAAATAAATAAAAATAAAAAAAGATGAACCATCTTTAAAAAAAAGTAAAAAAAAAATAAAAATTAAAAAATTAAAAGAGTCTAAAAATACATGAGTCTGGGGCTGTGCCAACTTCAACCACTGTAAGAAAGCTGGGAACTACGGAAAGGCTTTGGGTACGTGGTTTACACGAGCAGATCTGTGTTCCCGATGGATGGCTGCTCGGTAGAATGAAAGGCGCAGTTGGGGTGCCCGTACTGGTGGTTAGGGGACCGGTTAGAAATCTGTGGGACTCCCGGTGATGGGTCCTAAGCATCTGAAAAGAATGGTGGTAGTTACGACGGAGAAAAGAGGATTCTGAGGTAAACTCGGCCTCATTCAGTGGCTGACTAGACGTGAGATGTGGAAATGAAAGGAGAAAAAGGTTAACTATTAGGTTTTAGCGTGGCTGGTTACGGAGACAGTGCTGCTACCAAAGTCATACAAGATACAAAATACAGGAGGAACGGCATTTAGTGTAGAATTAGATGAACCTGAATTTGAATATGAGGGGCATCTAGGAGAAGATGCACAGCAAGCAGATAATTACATGTGAGTCTGAAGCTTTGAAAGAGGTCAGATATATGTATAGATAAGCATGTATACATATTTATATGTATACACAAATATGTATGTATATAAACACACCTATGTATATAGTACAACACTATGACGTAATCGAGATCAAGAGTTCATGAGATGCGGAATCCAAGAAGACTTAATTTAGCAGAAATGAATTTAAGAACCAGTACACTGAGCCAAATACCAAACCAAAGTTGAAGAAGTACAGGATAGGGGACACATAACTTAGCAGCCCCCCTATGAAAACAATGCTTTATAGTTCGGAGTGTATGTAAATCCATGAACTCAATAGTTTAGGACGGGGTGTCAAACTCATTTTCACTGGGGGCCACATCAGCCTCGCAGATGCCTTCAAAGGGCCGAAATAATTTTAGAGCTGTATAAATGTAACTACTCCTTAACTGTTCAGGGGTTGAAATTACATCCGGCCCTTTGTAGATAACTGCAATGCTGATGTGGCCCCCAGGGAAAATGAGTTGACACCCCTGGTTTAGGACCGTTTTCAGACAACAAATGCAATCTCACACTGCGTTCATGGAAATCTAGTATCTAGAAATGACAATGAAGGTCTATTTGTGTACTCAGTAGATGACATTTACAATACCGTGTTCAGCTTCATTCAAGCTTGAACAGTGATGGGGAAGAGTGAAATAAGATGGCAGAGGGAGTTGGACCATGCCATACTAGGGACGGTTGAAAGAAACGGAAGGAAAGTTTCAGGGAAAGAAATCATAGCTTTAAAAAAATACTTACAATCTATCACGTGGAAGAGGCGCGTGTTTGTTCTCATGATTTCAAGGAGAATTGGGGAAAGTGAGTCAGTCAGACATGTTTGCCTTTAAGGTTCCTTTACTCTGTGTTTTATGTTATTAGATAGATGGATGAAATTTACAGAAACACATGCTTTTAAGTCAATGTGGGAAGAACTTTTTCTTGGGCTATTTGTCTATAGCGATGGAATAAACCATATTGTAATTTGGTAAATTATCTGTTACCAAGTGTCATCAGTCAAAGGTTGGATGCGCCTGGGTCCTGTGATGAGTAGGAGGTAAGAAGAGAGGACTCTCAAGGTTTCTCTCTGCTTTAAGACTCAGTAAGATGGGAATGAAAAAAACTAGACAATAAGGTGAATATTTTCTTTCTTTTTTTGTCTGGGTAAAACTACGAAAGGGCAAATTGACATACAATGATATCTGCTGGCTTCCACTATATATTTCTAGAGCTATAATGAAAAATAAAAATCTGAGGTTTAAAGTTTCTGGAATAGTGAACTGATCTTTGTCTATCCATTTTGAAGCTAATCCAGCTTCTTATACGCAGAACGTGATCATACGCATCTCAGTAAATGGCTCACGTACAGGTGGTGAGTCGCCACTCACTGCTGCCGACATTCCCATTTTACTCACCCAAACCCGGATTAGGAAGCCGTCTTCTCAGATAATCAAACACACAATCAACTGGTATGTTTGGCCTCATATCTAGAAAAGATGGTAAAAGAGCCTTAGTCGTGTGGAAACAATTCATTGACTCTTTTACAATTCGTGTTTTTTATCATTTTCTAAATAAACACGTGCCGGCAGATAAGCATGTAAACAGTTTATTTAGTTTAGCGCAATTAAACCCATACAAACAACTGTCAAACCTTATGAATTTTTGTTGCATCTTTGCTATATAGAGCAAAACTCTAAAAAATGTTCATACCCTTTGAATCAGCAATTTTCTTTCTAAGAATTATAACTAAATAAGAATATGCACCAATGGGGAGTTATAAAGTCTTCATTGTTGTTTATGATAGAAAAAGCATAAGTGAACAGCGGTTACCAATGGGGATGGTTAAATTAAGGTTTACTAAGTTAATGGAGCACTTTGCTACCGTTTATTAACATGTAAAGAAGTTAATAATAGACTGCAATTTTAAAGGAAAACATAAGTTGCAAAGCAGGTTGAACTTAACTTGTTTGTCTCTACTGAAAGATGAGCCCCCAAGGGGAAGAAATGGTATGGCGTACTTCCTAACACCCCCAAGCACCACGTGTAGTGGCGACCTCCAAGTGGTGGCACAAACAAGTGTTTCTTGAGCAGAGGGGAGTTATTTATGAGGTGGCACAAACAGAACATTACCTTTCACATCGGGATTTGAGGCTTCGTGTCTTCGCAGGAAACGTCCTTTATCACAATCCTAATGGGGCACAGAACAAGAAGGAAAACAATTCTGTTACAAGCATGAAAATGTGTGTTTCCTATATGATAAACAGAGGAGCTGTTTTCAATATTATTCCTTTTATACTCACAGGTTTAGAATGGATAAAACAATTTCTTAAACCAGAACCTCCTAATACCTTTCACAACACCATTTTTCTCCTATAGCAATGAGTGGAAGAAAATATTGGTACCAGCCCTGGCTGGTGTAGTAGCTCAGCGGATGGAGCGTGGGCCTGCAAATGAAAGGGTCACTGGTTCAATTCCCAGTCAGGACACATGCCTGGGTTGTGGGCCAGGTCCCTAGTGGGGGGAGGGTGCTCAAGAGGAAACCACACATTAATGTTTCTCTCCCTCTCTTTCTCCTCACCTTCCCTTCTCTCTAAAAATAAATAAAATCTTTAAAAAAATAGTTAAAAAGAAGAAAATATTCATATCATATTTTGGCATTAAAGGGAGTTTTAAAAATTTTCACTGCATGTAGAACCTATTTATGATGAAAAACAAAAATGTACTTTATAATCTCACTTATTAGAATGAGAAAAATAAAGATATAGGCAGATAAGATGGTGTGATGGGTAAAAATATATAAAATTGCATGCAAATGTATAAGCACTTACAAAACTATGCTTACACAGAAAAGATGGAAAATATTTTCTCGTAGCTTGCAAAGATGCCAGTCAGGAAGAACAGAGATGACCCTGCTTTCTATCCTGACAGAAGGCGCCCATGTGACCCTGATGGACTGAAAGACAAAACACTGTAGAGCCATGACTTCTGCTAACACTGAGTATAGTCCACAGGTCGTTGTGACTCTGAACACATTTTAAATGTGTTCAAACGTTTGTTTCTGCATCGGTGCAATGTGGGTATTATAAAGAATTTTCCAAGAGGGCCTGAGAAAGGAAAATAGAATTAAAACAATTTTTGTCAAATGTAATGCATATCAATTTATGATAGAAAGTAGAGCATGAAATAGAGTTAAAAACTAAAATAACACCTGCCTGGTGTAGCTCAGTGGATTGAGCAAGGGCTGAGAACCAAAGTGTCGCAGGTTCGATTCCCAGTCAGGGTACATGTCTGGGTTGCAGGCCACGACCCCCAGCAACTGCACATTGATGTTTCTCTCTCTCTCTCTCTTTCTTTCTCCCTCCATTCCCTCTCTTAAAAAAAACAAAACTAAAAGCTAAAATAAAATCCCTTTGTAGGTAAAACTGGTAAGAAGAAAAATTTGACATAATCGGTCTGAAATAAAAGAAAATGTAAAAATGAAAGATGAATGCAGGGAGAAAGGGGACTATTCTAGAACAAATGACACAAGGTTCAACATAGTGATACTACATAATCAATAGGAGTTGGAGAGACAGGGGTAGATTAGGCTGGAGAAAACGGCTGGTAAGACTGGTCTGATGGACTCTCAGTGTGTGTCATGGCAGCCCTCTTCCCTCTCCAGAAAGGATGCTGTGAGCCATAATGTAACTATTACATTTATTCACAGGAACCACTGGGCCAATGGCCTTCTGAATGGGATCTACGAATTTTAACCACAGTAATCTATGATTGCTTTTGCCGAAAGTCTGCAAAATTATTGAGTGTGTCCTGGTAGGAAATGAAGTGAACTAAAAAAAGTTTTAGATAACTTCCTACTATTATTTTGGGATGTATTGATGTTTTACAAGCAAACCATTAAAATAATAGCTCAAGAGCAGGAATTTGAGCGGTCCTCAGGTGCTCACTGCAGTTAAGATGACATTGTTCATTCTTTTTGCCAAAGATTATCAGAAAATAAATTTCAGGATCAATGACTAAGACCTCCTAATAGTGTATGGGCACATTTAGAATATATGCAACATTCTGAAATGACCAAACGACAAAGTTGTTTTCCATGTGGAAACTCCAACATTATAGGTAGAGTATGATTTCATAACAAGTTTTAAATCTTCAATCAAGACAGATGAAAATGCATAGATATTTGATATAAAGGAATTTACTACATTTTACATGAAATACAGTTTGGATAGATGAGGAAAATCACTATGTGGATGTTTACAAGAACTAAATAAATATGTGTTTCACAACATCTACATACCTGATTTGGGTTCTGTAAATGACAATACATTGAGATCAATTAGAGAGTTTGTTTGCAAAACGATTTATTTATAATCTTGGCCCTCCCCCAAGTACACTCGCATTGCACAGTTTACAAGGAGAAACTGAGATAGCAATGTCAAAATATGCAGTATTACTGCAACAGTATGCTTTAAAGAACAGAATTAAAAATTTAGGAGAAGTGCTAATGTAGGAGAGCCCCACACACCAGCAGCACAGGCCTCCCGGTAAAATCCGCATGAGCTCTGGGTTGTATGGACCCCAGCTTCCTGGTGCAGACAGAGCAGTGACCGGGGCAAGATGCTCCTGTGGGGGAGGGGAAGTAAAGGATGCGGGGGACCTCCTGTACATGCATACGGTTCCTACAACTCCTGTGCCTCTACAGTTATTCCAAAATAAAAAGTAAAAATAAAAGAATTTAAAAAGGAAGAGAGGAAAAAATCATTCCAAAAGTCCCTGGGAAACGAGACTCTGTTCCTTCAGCCCGCACCTGGCAGGTGACTGTGCGTCCTGTGCTCAGGGCGTGCTGAGTGAGCTTGTCACTGCTGACCTGAACTCCCCACTGGTGCTCCGTCACATAACGGGGAATGTTTGCAGAGCAATGTCTAGCATTTGCATTGTTTGAATACTTGAGTAGAAATCTTCTCATCTTCTGAGTCTGGCACTAAGGTCTTCCCCAGCTTCTGGGTTTTCTGAAGGTGACGGACGCTCAGGGATGGATTGGCTGGACCCGGTCAGCTAGGGACATCGCTTTATAACTGTCCCCCCTGTGTTTGTCAGGCTTGCTTCCTAACTAGACAATTCTGCTGAACTCTGGGTGCTGACTTCTACCTGCTCCATCTTTTATCCCCCTGGGCTTGTTATTTACTTGTTTGTTTCTTGGGAGACTGGCTGGGTTGTTTTAGACAGCTGCTCGTCCTCCTGCAGTGGCAGGCTTCTGACTTTGCTCCCCAGGGGTGCAGACTTGGGTATGTGCACACTCACTCTGGGACGGCAGTGGCTCTGCATGGTGGCCTTTGTCTCTTTCCCTGAGCACAACCAGCTATGAAACTCCACTACTTTCTGGCTGATAGCTTCACGGTGTTCAACAATGCCCTCGGCAATATATTGTTCCACAGAGCAGTCCAACCAAATGTGTGCGCCTTTGGAAGCAGAGCTCCTGAGGTCAGTGTTGGAGATTTGTTCTGATCTCAGGAGGGCTCCTCCCAGCTGTCTCTTTCCCACTTCTCTTTGGCAAACCAGACGGCCTACAGTTTAGCCTATATTTCCAATGAACCTACCACTCTCCTCCACCCTTTCCCCATACTTCCACCGATTTTGAGAATGTCCTTGAGTTTCTCCAGGATCTCTTGCAAATTAAGTCACTTCTTTGGAAAAGAGACTGGGAGCTACCTGTTTTATCTGGTTTTCCCTCAAGGCAGAATTTCTGACCCGAGTGTCTCTGGAGCTGGGGGTGGGGACAACGGCATTCTCTCAGGGATCCCCACTGTCGAGCTGAGCTGTCAGAGCTGTCGGTGGAAGACGGCAGCAGTCTTTGGCTTTCTCAGTTTGCCTCTCCCAGAGTGGTACCACCGCTAGACAAGCCAAGGCAAGGGCAATTCGGGCCAAAAGTATTTTCAGTGACGTAGCACCCAAGGTAGAGTCTCCTTCTCATGAATGGGGTCTGGGTGGAAGGAGGGACACCTGTGTCTGGGCTGCACTCACCCGGAATGTAGCTGCAGCAACAGGTAGCTGGGTGCACGGGAAGGCGTCCTCTGACTGGTGTCACGGGAGAGGGGGCCCTGCCCGGCACGCTAGTCTGGAGTGGGAGGGTGAAGGGGGGAGGGGGAGGCGATTCAAACACCATGGGCTTTCACTGTGCTCTTCTTTGTCTTCTCCTTCTCCTTTTTTACCAACTTGTAGATTTTCATAAACAGGTGTGTTTTTTTCATTTGCTGGATCCCATTAGGACCACTTCCGGATTTTTTTGTTAGTTTAATTTAAGAACTCCGTATCGAGTCATTTCTGCCAAATTACCCAGTGTGTGGATGCTCTGTGCACTGGGGAGCGGGACGCTGGGGTGACAGACAGGCAGGGCGCTCACAGCAGATGAAGACTCGGAACAAAAAGCCCAGTGTGTGTGAATGCCCCAGGGATGAGTGTGTTTTCCCTACTGTGTGTGCTCGATTTTCATCTTCGGCCCAACTTCATAGCAGCTGGTATATAATGCACTTTGTAAACTCTCCCTTAAACTTTTTTTTGGTGTGGTGGAATACATGAGACATAAAATTTACCATCTTCACCATTTGTAAGTGCACAGTTCAGTGTCCGTAAGTACATTTACAGCGCTGTGCAGCCGTCACCACCATCCTTGTCAGAACCCAGTCACCTTCCCTAACTCTGTCCCCATTAACTACTACCTCCCAGCCCTGCCTTAATCCTGGCCAAGATTCACCCTTTTCACAGATAAGCAACCAAATGCATTAGAAAGAATATTTTTTTGTATGTCTTCTTACCAACTGCATGAGCAACGTGCATGTATTCAAACATCAGAGATGTAAGCAGTGGAAAGCCAAGTGCCCCCACAGATAACCAATGGTGCTTGTGCTGTGTAGTCCTCCAAACGTGGACAGTACACAAGCTATAAAGTTGTGTTTTTCAGAGCTGCAAATAAAGGTGACTTCTTCGTGGCAGCTGAAAAGCACCACAGCGCTCAGCAGATGCACCCAGAGAAACCGGGAATGCCACATTCTTTCGCTTTCACTTGCTCTCTCTCAGAATCAACGTCTGGTTTCCTGCCTTTTAACTTTGTGGGAAAAGTCTTCAAACCTCATTGTTTAAATGTTTTTTTTTTTAATAATTTTCACCAACTTTTGCTAGTGAATGCGTCTGCAGGGCTCCCGTCATGCAGGGTGGAAACAGTCTCCCTGCACCATCCAGTTTATACTTGGGTGTTCCCATTCAACTTTTCTTAGTTTTAATTTATATCTCCCTGCTATTCTGGATGCAGCCCCATAACATGCCTCAAATCCTTCCCTGAGTAAGGGGAAATTTTGCACCTTAATAAGACCCACCTCTCATCTGCCGAGGTCCTTTTGTGCTTTTATAACCAGTAAAAATATGAGCAAAATTTTAACCACTAACTTTTCCTGGGGAAAAAATTAGGGTGTAAGAAGGTTAAGAGGACATAACTTGCCATTCTCTTGCAATCAGTTTTTCAGAAGCTGCTAACAACCGGACAAATGAATATTTACCTCTTGACGGTCTCTGTCATGGTGGCAGCTTGCTATGGCAGAATTTCTTTCCTTCCTTGTTTTCAGATGTTTTCTATTGCTCTGTGTCTAGGTAAAAGATTCACATTTAAAATCAGCATTTAATCAACCCATCAAGGGTGGTATATATGCAGACATAGAACTGAAGGTCTTCAGACCTTCACTTATAAGGAGATGAAGTACTTTTCCTATGCCTCCCACTAAGTACAACAAAAAAAAACTGGGTGTTATATACAAAATAAATTTAAGGGACTCTAAAAGGTGAAAAAAAAAGGCAAAGAGGAGCAACACAACCTTGAACAGTTTCCTGGGGTTTTGTTTGTTTATTTGTTTGTTTTTGCCTCATGTAGTGGCCCTAGAACTGGAGGGGCCAGCAACCCAGAAATGCCAATGGGTTAAACAATGGCTGAAAACTCCCCAACTTTGATAAAAGACATGAATATAAACATCCAAGAAACTCAACGAACTCCAAATAAGATGAAATGAAAAACTCCATACCAATTCCATATAAATTTTAGCATTATTTGTGCTGCTTCTGAGAAGAATGCCATTGGTATTCTAATACGAAATGCATCGAACCTGTAGTTTAGTTTGAATAGTTTGATTATTTTAATGATGTTAATCAGGCAGAGAAAGACAAATATCACATGGTTTAACTTGTATGCAGGATCTAGAAGGACAAAACAAATGAGCGAACAAAGCAAAACACTGAAAACAGACTCACAGAGACACAGATCAAACTGGTGGTCACGGGTGGGGGGCGGGAGGGTTAGGAGGGTAGGAGGGTAGGTGAGAAGGTGAAGGGGAACAGAGTCAATAATATTGTGATGTGTCTGCACGGTGACATTGTAAGGTACATAAATTAAAATGTCATATCACTATGTTGTACACCCGAAACTAATATTGTATACCAACTATACTTACATTAAAAAATTTTAAAAACGTATTTGCAATAAAAACCCCACACCAAGACACATTATAATCAAACTTACAAAGTCAAAGATAAAAAGAGAATCTCGAAAGCAGCAAGAGGGAAGCAAATTATTACATGCAAGGGATCCTCGATAAGACTGTTAGCGGATTTCTCATCAGCAGCTTCGGAGGCCAGGAGACAGTGGGCCAATGCAGCCTCAGCGCTTACAGAAGAAACCCTGGCAGAACCGTCCTTCAGCACTTAGGGAGCAATGAGGACGTGCCCAGACACACAGACGCTGAGGGCGTTCGTGACCCGCAGACCTGCCTGGCGAGAAGGGCTCAAGCAAGCCCTCCGGGAGAAATGAAAGGGCACTAGACAGCCTGACTGTGCATTGATCGAAACTATTTCTTTAAAATGACCTTTTCTTTCTTTTCTTTTGATTCCAAGTGGTCTCGCCCAGCACCCCGCCTCGCCTGGCCCCTTCTACCTTACACTCGGCGCCCTTGATCAGCCTAATCACGAAGCCCTGAGGACAACGAGGTTCTGGTTGGCATCAGATAATCTTAGGAACGGAGCCTCAGGTCTGTTGACCACAGAGACAGTTTTCATCAAACTAGAGATAGCATCTAGGCCACAACTGAATTTCAGCTCCACACCCATAAAGTCAGCGAAACCAGACAAAGAGACGCCGTGGCTGAGGTCAGGACCAGACTCATCGCCCCTAGCGCAGACGGATCTGCAGAGAACACTGCCCTGACTGCAACCCTGACTCCCCTGGTCACCACGATTAACGACTTTCCCCCTGTATATCCTGTCCCCTGGAAGCCACTGGGGAGCCAGGTCTTTGAGCATTAGCCCACCTGTCTCCAGGTGCGGGCCACTTCCTGAAATAAACCCTCACCTTCTTCGCTGCAAGCTCATGTCCGTGTCTTATCAGGCTTCATGGGGAAATGCACCCCTTTGGTCCAGTAACAACAGGAAATTGGAGGCGTGGGGAGAAACGAAGATCCCAGTATAGGAGGACACATGGGCAATTATGAAAGCTAGCGTTGTTGTAACAATGGTTTCAAACTGCACTTTTGTTTCCTACGTGATAAGTGACTAACACATTTAAAGAAAAAAAACTATTAGTGTAAAAGCTAGTAATTACTGTAATTTTGACTTGTAAGTCCAAATCTTGTGTTCTTCCTAAGAGACGAGTACATATAAAAATTATCAGGTTATGTTTTTGGACACATGGTGTATAGAGACATAATTTTTGGACATCGACAACCGAAAGGAGCAGGCTTGCAGCTGCACAGGAGCAGAGTTTTGTGAGTCGTTGAAGGTTAGCCGGGACAAGTGCATATTAGTGTTACAGCTTTAGGGCGTCCGAGGTAACCCCCACAAAGACGACAAAGAAAATACCGCCAGGATATACACAAAAGGACACGAGAAAGGAATTTAGACATCTCACTACAAAAAAATCAACTGAATGTAAATGGAAACAGTAATGCAGGACGTGGCTGACAAAACACTGTCAGACGTACAGAAAACAAGTAGCAGAGTGCGAGAAGTCAGCCCATTTGCACCAGTAATTCTTTTCATTGTAAATGGATTAAACTTGCCAGTCAAAAGATAGATATTGGCAGAATGGATAAAAAAAAATACACGACCCAACTATATGCTATCTTTAAAAGACTCAAAAGATCCACAAACAGGGTGAAAGGGAAAGGACGGGAAATATATTTTATGCAAATAGTAACCAAAAGAAGCAGGGATGGCTATCTTAATATCAGACAAAATAAACTGTAAATTTAAAAATGTTACAAGGACATTTTATAGTAAATATAGCAAGAAGACACAGCAATTATAAACATCTGCATATCTAATGACAGACCATTAAAATACCTGAAGCAAAAATGGGCAGAATTGAAGGGGGAAACAGACTGTTCTGCAGGATGGCTGGAGCCTCCCACTCTTGATGACGGACAGAGCGAACAGACAGAAGACGTGTAATGAATATGGATAAGACGGAAATTGGTACCTAGAGGTGTGCTGCTGTCCTAACAAAAACCTGACTATGTCACTGTTGTTCGCTTCGTGACGAGCTGACAACAGGTGGTGTGGAGACGGTCCCGGGAAGCTAGGAAAACAGTGACACAAGGGATGTAGAGGTGACACATCTAGTACAACTGTCTCCAGTGACAGCGTGACGGACAGAAAACACACCTAACAGGCCTGGGTCAGCGGACATAGAGATTTTGAGGCAGAATGCTTAGTGTATACATTGGTTGTTGCCTGCTTCATTTGATGAGTTGTTACAAGAAAGAAATCATTTGGACAAAAGAACTTAATTGAGAGGGAAAACGGAGAGCCCCCGGTTTTAGAATCTGAGGGTTGGCTTCAGTGAAACCTTAAGGCAAAGGTTGAATCCAAGTTACGACTTTCACATTTGTGGTAGACAGTCTAAGATAACTAGAATGATCCCCGTCTCCCAGTGTCCTCACCCTTCTACCATCCTCTCCCTTTGAGGGTGGGCTCAGGCTAGTGACTCCCTCCTAACACATGGCAAACGTGGATGGGGCTCTGCTTCTGAGACCAGGCTGCTGCGGGGCTGTAGCTTCTACCCCGCGTGCCCTCTCTTGCCCGCTCACTCGCTCACTCAGAGAGGACCCCGTTAGGCGCGCCCTACAGAGAAGCGCACAGGGCAAAGTACCCAGGGAGACGTGCAGCCAACAGCCAGCAGGGAACTGAAGCCCTCAGCCCAACAGCCTGTGAGGAACTGAATCTTGCCAACAACCATATAAGTGAACTTGACAGTGGGTCCTTCCTCAGTCAAGCCTTTACGTGAGACCACCTTCTGCCTGACCGACACCTTCACTGCAGCCTTTGGAGAGGCCTTCGAAGCACCCAGCTAAGCCATCTCTGGATTTCTGACCCGCAAAGTGTGTGATAATAAATGTCAGTTGTTTCAAGTGCTAACGTTTTGGGTAAGTTTTTACTCAGTAAAGAAGATTAATACAACATCTGTCTAAGTCCGTTTGGCTGCTACAATAAAATACCAGACTAGGTGGGTTATAAATAACAGAAATGTATTTCTCACAGTTTTGGAGGCTAGAAGGTTGCAATCAGGGTGCCAGCATGGGCAGGTGGGAGCGCTCTTTTGGGTCACAGGGTGCTTTTGCATCCTCCAGAAGGGGCTAGCGAGCTCCCTGGGGCCCGCTGTACAAGGCACTATTACCTCTCACGAAGGCTCCACCTTTATGACCTAACCCCTTCCCATGGGCCCCACCTTCTAGTACCGTTATACTGGGCATTATAATTTCAACATATAAATGAGGGGGGGGCAGAAATATTCAGACCATAGCATCCTTTCCCTGTTTCCAGAAATTCCTGTCCTTCTTACATGCAAAATACATTCATTCCACCTCGACAACCCTAAAAGTCTTAACTCATGCCAGCATCGACTCCTAAAGTCCGAAGTCTCACCTCAGTATCATCTAAGTCAGATACGGGTGAGACTCAAAGCATTGTTCACCCAGAGGTAAAGTCCCTCTCCAGCTGTGGCCCTACGAACCAAACAAGTTACGTGCTTCCAGAACCCAGGGGTGGAATAGACACAGGACAGGCATTCCCATTCCAAAAGGAAGGAACAGGAAAGAAGGATGAGGTGACAGGTCCCAAGCAAGCTCAACACCTAGGAAGGAAAAACTCAATGAGATCTTAAGGCCCAAGAATACTCCTCTCTCACTCCACGTTCTGGCGCCGGGACCCACTGGGGTGGCAGTGTCACTCCTGCTGCTTGGCAGGGTGCCGCCCCTGCCTGGCTCTCTGTGGGGCCCAGCCCACACCACAGCTCCCGGCTCCAGGTGGGTCACCTCTCCACCTGCTGGCCGCTGTTGGAGGCTGTCCGCCTGTTAAAACGTAGGTGGTAGTGGCCCTAATAACCTTCTGGTTACCTTCGAGCCCTCAAAAAAATCTTGTTATAAAGAACAGCGCATATTCACACAATGGCTCTGAGGTATCCTCCCGCAAAACTCAAGCCCACCAACATCCTGCACACGGTCCTTTCTGCATGCACTACAGCTCTCCTCTTTTCTTTCTGGATTCTCACCAGAATCACTCTGAAATCCTTTCATGGCAATATCACCATTTTCTAACATGCGCTTCAAACTCTTCCAGCGTGTACCCATGACCCACTTCCAAAACCACATCTCACTTTTTAGGTGTTTCTTACAGCAGCACCCCACTCTCAGCACTGGCTGTCTTAAGTGTTTCTTACAGCAGCACCCCACTCTCAGCACTGGCTGTTTTAGCCTGTCTTGGCCACTCCCTACTAGCACTACACTGGGGTGCAGGGTGTCAACATTTGTAGTTGGTAGGGGTGCAGACACTCAGCACACAGCACCATGTAAAGTCTCTACTCCTCCCCCCCTGCACCTATTATCATCTAACATGTCATATATTTTACTTCCTCATCTTTGTTTTTTATATCCCCAACTAGAATATACTCGACGAAAGGGAAGGATTTTTGCCCGATATTTTTTACCGCTCTATCCCTAGAGTGTAGAGCGGGAGCTCCACAGATAGCTGTTAACTAAGTGAATGAGTAAAGACTGGACCAGCACTCAGGCAACGCTATACCACCAGCTCCCACTGGAACTGGTGTGGCTCCTGGCAAATCATTTAATCTCTCTGGCTGTTACCTGTTTTCATCTATAAAGTAAGAGTGTTAAGAAACCATCAGGTGAAAAAATGCTGTGATTTGAAGGCATGGTATATAATCAGAAAATAACAGTTATTGCTAGGCAGTAATTATACAACTGGGAGCTTTTCCCCCCGTCTCCTAGTGACAAGAAAAGAGTGCCTGTGCAGCACCTCCACACCACGGGCAGACACCTCCGCCATACCTGAGGAGTTAACTTGGGAAGAGAGGTCTGAGAGTCACTGGATTCTGAACAGTCGGAGCCATGGCTGCTACAAAACATAATGAAATATTTTCTTAGCTTACGGTATGTTTTGGTGCCATTTTAAAATTTCAACTGTGACTTTTGCCTTCTTGCCTTCTTGGAGTGGTAGAAATAGTTCTAATTATGAAAAGAATGTTTACAAACATGGTGTACATAGATGTCTGGTAGTTCTAGGCTTCTTAGGCTATTGGAAGAATAATGACTTAAATTGACTGGAACACAGCAAACATACACAAATCCATGAGTTCAAAACGATACTCTCCATCTGCAGGTGAACTTACGAGTCACCCCCGGAGGTCACAGGGGCACTAAGTCAAAGTCTAAACATTTATAAATAAAGGGGAAGAATCAAATATTTATTCTGCCCTTCCTATAGAAACTATACTAAGATTAGTACCTTTTTTCTTCCAACAACATTCCTTTAGCACTGAATTTGGCACTTATTATTCATTTAGAGTATTTATGAGGCATCTTTATAAATGTGTCAATTCTTTGCGGGTAATGACAGCATTAAAAACAATTTGAGTCTATCTTTCACATATAGTACATAGTTTGTGCTCATTTAATGTTACTTGACTAAATGAATTAATAAAGTCTTGATGACATCTGGATAAAGTAATGTGCATAGGAAAAATTTTCCTCTACCCATAGTTGGGATTCCAGTTGAAACTGATGATTACATCCTAGTAATATGAAAAAGAGTAATATGAAAACCAGTGAAACAGCACACCAAATATTACTTCCACCTCTTGACTCACCTAGACTCTAGATCCAAAACAACTTCTTCCAGAGAAGTATCTGAATCATCAAGGACTTTCTCCAAGTTGATACGTTTTTGCATTTCTTCTAGTTCTTTTAGGCACTGATAATACTAGGGAAAATGATCAATGAGATGATTATTAAAATAACTTTATTTTCTAATTAAACTAATTGAATATTTATAGACGCCTGGAACAATAGCTACTGGGACATCCACTACCACAACACCCTGCACAAGGACACTGAAAGGAGTGAACTGCCGTAGGCCCGCAGGTGGGTCGCGCTGCCTAGGAGAGTGGAGTCGGATGTGCTTCCAAGGGGACTTCGCTCACCTTACTGCGGTCTGGATCACAATAGTCCAAGAGAGTATCACAAAAATGATATCCCATGGACTCCAAGTCTTTTGTGTTGAAATGAGTGCCTCGTTTATTACCTAGAACATCAATAAGTTAATTCACCCTTGAGGATGACTTAATTTTTCCTTAGTAGATAGGCCTAAGCTGTAAAACAGAGTATAAACAAAGCATCTGATATGATTCCATATCCTGTCCTTTGGATTTTCTTCTCCGGGGCAGGTCATTTAACAGGTTATTGTTTTCCTTCATTCCCCATCCACCACCTGGACCAAAGGTCAGTCTATGCTGTAAGGCAGAAGAGAATTCAGTACAAAAGTTATGGGATACTTGGTTACCAGTTATAAACACCCTAACAATCACTTAAAGGAAAACTTGGGTAATGATTATAATGTTTTCATCATCATTAATAATATCAGTTTCAAGGTGCTTTAAAGACTAGCTAGTGGATTTCCCACTTTCCTTTGAGTTGATACATTCTCTAATAATTGACAATTATCTTAATGTGGAGTATTCTAATGATTTGCTGGATGTGATTAAAAAATTTCTTAAATGGAACTACAGAACACTTTTATTTTTAGTTCAAGGAACCAAGTAATTCCATTAAAATATAAATTGACCAAAAACAAAAGCTAAACATCAGTCTATTTGCCTTGCGAAGAGTAAATCCACTAAAAACATTCTTAGCCTGATATTTTAAGTATGAGCACTGCTTTTCTTGAAATCGTTAGACTCATCTGTAGGAACCCCTTCTAAAAAAAAGCAATTAAGAATTAATTCATGAAACAACCAGTTACGTATTCTATCGACAGGCTAAAACTTCCTACTCTGAAAAAAAGGGAAATGAAGAGAGAGTTTGTTTATTCATTTTATCAATAGCATTGATCAGACATCAGTATGTATTTAAGTGGGAAGACAGTGCTCACTATTAAACTATCTACACTGTTATCTTACCTTAAAAGTGGCTTAAGCTCTGAGAGCCACGACCGAGAACGCTTGGTCTTACCCAGAGTGGATCCACAAAAGGTGGCCTCCATGGTAAAGCTGTTCCTGATGCCCATTTTCCACATTACCACCCTTCCTGTTCCATGTTTGCTCCTCTGGATATTAAACTTGCAAGCTGAGAAGGAAAACTGGAAAGAAACAAATGAACAAGAGCTATTGTTCTTAGGATAACAATGTGGGGATGAAGCAGGGATGAAGATGGAAAAGTGGTTGTGCAAAACCAGTAATTCTCTCTAAAACTTCGGGAGCTGCTTTTATCTTCTGACCGATGGAAAGAATTCATTTTAAAAATGATATATTTACATTTCTGAGAACTACAGATTTAAAATCTAGCAATAAATTTTACCTTTTATCTACAAGTAACATACACATTCAAAACCAGTTGAGTAATTCTTAACACAGTTGGGATAAGATTTTAAATGTCAAAAAAGCTTTGACATATTTAGGAATGGAGATTAGTGTTATGGATTTTCAGATCAGAATAAAGATGCTATATTTTCATGTGAAAGAGCACTTGAGAGCTGCCTGAGAGATTGTTATGACATCAGTATCTATAGAATTTTTGTCATTTTATTTTTAAATTAACATAAGTTTGACATGTTTCGTGTTCCAGTCTATGAATTTTAACACATGTGCAGATTTGTGTAACCAGAACCATAATCAGGATAGAGAACAATTTCATCACTTCTAAAAAGCTCCCTGTGCTACTCCTTTGCAGTCACAAGTACTTCATTTATTTTGGAGCTACAGTAAGTGGTACTGTTTTATATTTTAGATTCCCATTGCCCATTGAGAGTTTAACAGAAATTAAATTGTTTTTTTGTGGCTGACCTTGAATCCTATGACATTCTAAATAATTTATTAGTTTTAGAAGGGTTTCTTTTGTGGACTGCTTTGGATTTTCTAGGAAGACAATCACATCATCTTTGTTATTATACTTCTTCTTTTCCAATCTGTCTGCCTTTTTTTTTTCTTGCCTTATTGCACTTGCTAGAACCTCCAGGAAAAGTCTGAACTGAAGGGGTAAGAGTGGATATCCTTGCCTTGTTCTTGACCATAGGAGGAAAACAATGTTTGTTTGTTTTAATCATTAAGTATGGTGGCAGGATAATGGGCACTTCCTTCTTCATATTTCAAATTATTGGTCACCAAACATTCTGCATAGTTGCTTTCTTGTGCCAATTGTAAAATCAGGCAAAATAACTAAATAAAAAAATTAGTGTACTGAGTAAGATTATCCATTCTGTCTCATGTGGGCAACACTTAGTAAAGGAAAACTTAACATCTTAGAAAGGGCTTACTTTATCTGGACAGTTTTTGCTCAGCATAAGTGGAAAGATTCGCTGCTGTAGGTACAGTGCTTTACATCTGCCGCTGCCACCACAGCCGTACATGAAGATGTTCTCTTTCCTGCTGTGGCCGTGGAGGTCGCAGTACAAAACCACCTCTCGTTCCTCCATCAGTCTACCAAGAAGAAAAAACGTAAGTCACTCAAATTCACTTTTGCATTTCCCTTTTGTGTGTGTAACTCTGGGTTTACAAGTCTAACATCCAAGTAGAATGTCTGCCATATCAGCTTTCGATTGCTCTTCTTATCTATACTGATTATTAATATGGAATTTGAAAGATGGCTGCTGTAATTTCCTATTAACTATATCTAAAATACAAATGCCTTCCATTCAAAGGACAAACCCTACCTTATTCTCAACACTTTTTCCAGTAGGATCTGGGTTACCATTTTGGCTCTCTGTTGTATACAGAAAGAGTTCACTGCTTTCTCCATTAGTGCTCGCATGGATTCTTTCTGGCTGGAAGACCTTCTTTCTTCAAATTCATGAACACTACCCCTCGCCCCTCCAGAGTGACCTCACATCCCATTTCCTCTCTAACCAATCAAGCTTGGAGATCTTTTTTTTTTTTTTAACACCCATAGCACTTAATACTGGCATCATTTACTTGGCACTTGCATAGGAAAGTTTTCATACTTTTGAGATTTAATCTTCAGCTTAAGAAATGCTTCAAATCATCTTTAAATCATTTGGAACAGTGCTATGCATACAGGTACCCAAAATCTTTGTTAAAAGTTGAGTGCCTTATCACTTGGTGCTGACGCCAATGAATATTTAACCCTTTATTAGTGTGGTGAGTAAATATCACTTTGAGAAAAATGGTACCAAAGTTTGAATTGACTTTTCTCCCCCAGTAAATTTATAGTAAATAATTTAAGAAAATTATTACGTATTCTAAAGAGCATAATCCTTAGCTTGTATAATTTAGGCATTCAATAAATATTAAAGTAATAAAAAATAAGCCCCCCAAATTGGTTGATGATGGCTTTTAATAGGTAAAAAAAGTAGTGATGTTAAGATGGTAGAATTATGGGTATTTTTGCCTTTTTAATATTTCTAAATTTTATATATATTACTTAAATAATCAAAATTTCATATGTGATCTTATATCTGGAAGGATAAATAGCACAATGTTAGCAATGTTTCTTAGTAATATGAAATGTGTTACGGTGGTCTTCCCCCTGCCCGAAACCTCAGACCATACCTAGCCCTGTATATACTGTGTTTTTTTCCTGGACATGCATACACTTCATGGATTCTCTTTGGCATATGTGAATTACCAGCATCACTACTCTTGCACTTTGGAGCCATTCTTAAGTGACGTAAGGGTGACTCAAACACGAGCACTGCTGTAGGTGACAGTCAATCTGATAATGAGATGGCTACTAAGTGGCCATCAGAAGGTAACATACACAGCGTGGCTGCGCTGGACAAAGGGATAAGGCATGTGCCAGATGGGACAAGGAGAGATCTCATCCTGCTACTCAGAATGGCGTGCAACTGAAAACGGATGCCGTGTTCATTTCTGAAGCTTTCCCATCTGATACCTTCAGACCGTGGCTGACTCTGGGAAACAAGCGGTGGAGAGTGAAACTGGGACTGGCGGACTATTGTACTTTTATACCAAAAATATGGAAACTGAACATCAAAACTTTCAAAGCATAGCTTCTATCAGAAATAATACACCTTTACACTAGAGTGAAATTTCATATTGAAGTCTGCTACATGTATTAATTTATTGTCCTCCTCTCATTTGGTGCCAAACAAATTCTAATTGATAACTTACAGTGGACATAGAGCCACTGAATGACCACTTCAAGTTTTTAGAAAACTAGATTATAAAGCAAGAATATCACATTAGCTCCTTAAATATGAAATATGCTGTACATGTTGAAGTCAACAATTTCCAAATTTTAATGGTCTTTTGGTTTCTTTTGAGTCAAAAGAAATTTCTACTTCTAAGTAACTAATTTCCAAGGAAATGTTACGACTTCTGAAGTAAAACAGGATCTAAGGGTTTCTCATCTTACATTAATTTAAATCACTTTAGAAACAGTTTGGATGTTTTTTTTACTCTCAGGTATTCTAGTATCTTACACAAAAATCTACTCTATTTCTCATATTCCTGAACAACTTTTTTCTTTTTTATATTTGAGGAAACACTAAATACACTTAATGCTTTCAATGTCCCAGATTTTATTCTGGGTACTTTAGTAACAATAATCTCATTTAATCCTCCTATCTAAGAGGTATTATTATTCACATTTTATAGGTGATAAAACTGAGGCTCACATTTGTTCTTAAATCACTCCAGGTCACCTTGTTAGCAAATGATAAAGCAGGATTCCAATCTGATAGGTTTAACTCAAGCTCCACACACTTGACCTGGTCATTTAATGAAAATTTTAAATATTATGTGCTTTTACTGTTCCAGATTCTTTGGCAATTTGAAAGCTGTTCCATTTTTGTAGGGAAAACTAAGGCTACTTATTATTCATGCAGGTTTTAAATAATTGTGTAACCTGTTCATCAAAAGACTCATCACTGAGTGACGAATGATCAACATAGTGCCGGAAGGCTCTGTGGGGTGTAATTTTCACATATAAGGGATTCAAGGATCCCAAGGTAAACATCAGTGTTAGCGTTAGCTTTAGCAAGGAAATCAAGTTTGGGATGTGCAAGTGTAACTATCAGTTTCACAACGCCATTAAAATGTTCCAGCGTGGAAATCATTATTCAGTATAAGGCTAGTGCATCCAGTGGTACAGTGCCAGAAAGATAGAGAAGCAGAGTTGGGAAGAATGGGGGGAAACTAAGTAACTATAGTTAATCTATCCAAAGAAAATCTACAGTACCATGAGTGGGATGGTGGAACCCCAACTCTTACCGCCAAGTTGACTACAGAAGCAGAGAGGCAATTCGAGGCTCCATTTACCTACGGATCATGTTCCGCGTAGACCACACAGAAGGGAACAGCTTCTTCAGGAGAGAGGTGTAGTTCCGGTTTAAATCCTGTCCCGCTAGGGAACACCGGTAATTTCCTACAATCACACCGTCGGGATTCAGCATGGGCACCACCTTGAAGACGAAAGTGTCCCGCAGCAGCTGCGCGTCACGCGAGCCTCCTAAAATATAGTCGAGGAAGCCTTTCATGATCCAAGAGCTGTTGGTCTCTCCGGGGTGCACCCTCGCGGTCAAAATCACGGCCTTACGCTTCCTTGAGTCCCCGTCCTTCGAGGGGGTAGTGATCGTTAAGACGTACACCATGTTCCTAGCAATCGTGTGGCACAAGACACGTATTTTACAAAACTTGGACCTCACTGGGTCATTATGGATGCTGGAAAGGTATTCTTGCAGGTTGGTGTAAGTGTACGGGTAGCAGTGAGCAAAGTAGCAGGTGTCTTTGCTGTGTGGAAATTGAAATGTCCACGTGAGGGAGAAATAGTGGCGCCCCTCTTGCCCGGGGTTGTTCCTGTAATACTTGATTTGGTCCCCTATTCTCTTCCAGCCAATGTTATGAGTCTTGGCCTCTTTCTCAGAATAAAAGAGTGGGCGCATACCCCGGCTGTAAAGACTAGCGGGCTTGGTGAAATTGATAATCGTGAACCTGTAGACTATTCCTGCCTGGGTATTAGTGACTTGGAAATAGTACCACTGGGTGTGCTTATTGGTGAAGAGGTCGGGACGCACCGTCAGCAGGTATTCGTGGTCTGCCCTGATACACAGAAGAGGAAGGGAAAAGAAAGCACGTAAAATGTGGAAAATGACATTCAGTTTTAAATACATAAGGAAAGTTATTTTATTTTTACCTATTCACAGAAAGCATTTTTGGGGGGTGGGGAGAAAATGTTTATTCAAGCAGTATCCTAAATTGCAAGTAACTGCAAAACATAAGAGTTTGGAAATTTTCTGTTATTGGATGTGAAAGCTCTTCCGTGCTAATTCTGAAGCTTTTTTATTACTATTGAAGAGAACACATACACAATGGGCACTGGATTTTAAAAAACGACATTTTCACTCCAATTATGTTTCCTACAAAAGAAATAAAGAGTTCCTGAGACTGAATTACAGTTCAATGTGTCTTTTTTTTACTTCAGATATATATTTCTGTTTTCTATTAGATTCTAACTGTAGGGATCTGATATACTATCACTGAGAACAATTTAAAACATGTATAAATTAATATGACCACACAGAGTATACAGTTTTAAACACTTTGAGGACTGCACTTGACCACTACCCGGAACCCCCGTGTTCAGTCATGGAGAATACGTAAGTAAAGGCAAAAATAACTTTACTGTATAGTCCTTATGATATATACATGGACCAAACTCACCTGGTTAGTTGTCTCTTTTTTCTTTACCAAGTAACTGCCCATTCATCAGCATCAGGCACTCAGTGTGCGTGTGTGTTGTGTAGTTGCAAACTGACCCGGGAATAGGTGGAATGGCTGTGCAAAACCTGGGTAGCTTCTGAATCTAGGTGATCGGTATGTGATAGTCAATGTAGAATTTCGTTGTCCTGTGTACTTAACTATAGTACGTGTTTAAACATTTTCATAACCAAATTCTTTAAAATAATCTATTTACTTATTTTTAGAGAGAGAGGAAGGGAGGGCAAAAGAGAGGGACAGAGACATTGATGCGAGAGAGAGGAACATCAGTCAGTTGCCTCTTGTGCGCTCCCTGACTGGGGATCGAACCCGCAACCAGGCGTGTGCCCTGACCAGGAATCAGACTGATGGCCTTTCACTCTGTGGAGGGACACCCAGTCAGCTGAGCCACACTGTCAGGGCCACAATAGGATTGTTTTTTCAAATATCACTGGGTTGGCGTACATGCTCCTAAGTGTGTTTTCTGGAACACCCATCCCAAGAACTATTCTATGAAAAAGTTGGAGAAGCAGCGTGTCCTTCCAGGAACGACACACGGTTCCGAGTTGGACACTAAGACTTCAATGGAGCAGATACAGAGAACGACAGACAGTTGAGGGCCTAGCCCCTCAAACAAGCGTGATTCCAACCTACACTTTGACTACCTTCTGTAGATTACCACTCTCAAACCTTGCTTCGAACGTCAGCGTGTTGTCGCGGTCGCCCACGGGCTGCTTCAGGGATGTCCGGTTGCCCCCGACCCGGGAGTACACGAAGCAGGGCTCTTTGTAGGCTGACGAGAGAAACAGGCCATGAGGCTATCGCGCCGTGTCTAAGGTATAGGCTATTCTGCACGGAGTCTGCAGCTACAGGACAAGTGAAGCGGCGCTGAGAATTTTAACTTGCAAAGTAATTTGATCCTAACGTGTAGATTTATGTAAATCTAAGAGTACTTAGACTAGGAAAGCAATGCCTAAAATAAATTCATATATTATTCACATTAAAAATGCTCATTCTGGTTCTGGTTACTATGAAATAATTGGTTCTGAACTTGACCTTTCACTATACATAACTATAAAACTGGACAAGCCATATGAGCTAACTTTTAAAATGTATGTAGACAACACAGACCAGAACTATCTCAGATTCTTGAAAGACGATAAATACATGCAATGAGCCCTGTTTTCAACCCTGGCTGTCTTCCTGTGAGTATTTCTGAGTACATCTTCAGAAGGTTGCACTGAAGAATATCAGAGCAGGCCGTGGCAGGGAGGCTCCGTTGGTTGGAGCATCAGCCTTTACATGAAAATGTTGCAGGTTCAATTCTGGTGAGAACACATACCTAGGTTGCGGGTGTGAGCCTCGCGGGGCGCATACAGGAGGCCACCAACTGATGTTTCTCTCTCACACTGATGTTCCTCTCTCTCCCTTCTTCTCTCTCTAAAATCAATAAACATATCCTTGGGTGAGGATTAAAAGGGAAAAAAGACTGGTATAACATTCTTGCTGGGCTGAGGAGGCGATTGTGCCCCGGGGCTGCTGCAGTGGGCGAGGCAGGGCGCCAGAGAGAAAGAAGCTACACAGAGGAAGGGACTCGACAGTTTATGTGCTGTTTTCCCAGCTCATTGCGGGGGGCCGGGCCGTGCAAGCACAGGATAGGACTGAGCAAGACAGGAAAGAGTGTTACTGTGCAGATGAGATAATAGAGGGTATACAGTTCTAGAATATACTGGAATTTCAACGTAGCCAGTGCGGAAAGACTTCACTAAGCACCTCAGACATTTCATCGTGACCCCAGAAAGGCTGCACGTTGGGTGTAAGAGCCACATGGAAGAGTAGGGGCCATCCATGACCACTATGGCACTAAGGACAGAAGGAAAATAAATCTGCCCTATGTAAAAAAGTAAAATCAAGCCTGAAGGAAACAAAGTTATCTACCAGCAATTTAGCTGCCTACCAAAACAAAATTCAACTTAAGTTTTAAAAAGAATATGATATGGACTTTTACAACATATCTTTCACCATGTTCCCCATATGGTTAAAAAATGATGAAGCAATGGAGGGAAGCATGGATCAGGAGAATGGGATCCATGGTGACACATACACACATACACACGCACGGGCACCAGAGCCCGAGACAACTCAGACGGGAGTTAGAGGGTTTGGGATATATGTTAAAAGACTTAAAGGAAAAGATAGAGACAATGAACAAACAGATTAATCTCAAAAAAGAAACAGAAACTACAAAAAAGAACCAAATGAAAATTCTAGAAATAAAAAGTGCAATAACTGAAATGAAAGATTTACTAGATGGGCTTATAAGAAGTTGAAATTTGCAAAAGAAAGACTCCATGAACTTAAAAAACAATGAAAAACTCAAGGACAAAGGAGGACAAAAAATTAACCAAAATTCAGGAACATGTAGGACATAACTACAAATCCAACATTTGAAATTGGAATTCCAAAGGGCAGAGAAAGAATAGGATGGGAAAATATGTGAAGAAATAATGGTCGAAAACTTCTCAAATTAAAGGAAAAAAGTCAATGAACCAATGGATCCAACAAGGTCAGAAACTCCAAGCAGGATAAAGATAAAGATAACCAAATCTGGGCAGAGCTTAGATTTGCTGAAAACAGAGAGACGGAAAAAGACACATAATATACAGTACAGGAAACACTGATACAAATTATGGCTGGCTTTGTATTAAAGACAACTGAGGTCACAAGACATTGGAACAATATCTGTAAAGGAAATGAATCTTTGAAAAAAAATGTCAACCGGAACTCTATACAGCCAGTTGTTTGGGGGCTTCCCTCTCTTCCAGCTACAGGTTCATTGACCCTTTCTGTCGTTTACCCTTTCTACCTGCCGTTTACCCTTTCAGGCCTAAGGAACGGAATGGTTCAACCTGTTGAGAGTCTCATGTTGCTTCGCCATCCCTCTTTAGTGTCCTTTAACTCTGCCCACCCTCTCACATTTTCCTTGAACTTTTAAACTTCCTCCCAGTATGCCATCCAATTCCTGACAAGACCTTGACCGACTTACCTCGACCATTTCAATTTTAGAGATTTTCTTTATTTTTAAAGAGAGAGAAGAAGGGAGGGAGAAAGAGAAGGTGAGAAACATCAATGTGAGAAAGAAACATCTGTCAGGTGCCTCTGTGTGTGCCCCAACTGGGGACTGAACCTGCAACCCAGGCATGTACCCTGACTGAGGATCGAACCCGCAACCTTTTGGTACATGGAATGATGCTCCAACCAACTGAGCCACACAACCAGGACTTATGTTTTCTTTTAAAGTAACTTTGCATAAACTAAAGTACACCTTCAAGGATATAAAGAGCACTAAACCAGCGTTTGGATCAACATGTAACCAAACATCTTTATGGGGACAGATTCCCTGGTAATCTGCAATTTCTACTGTAATCAGTAAAACAAATACTTGTATAACTAAGAGATTCATTCAGGTGCCAGATTATATTTTAGAGCAATGTGTTTCATTATGTACCCACCATCTTCAGCTAGGTAAACCACTGTATCTTCATTAGAGTTTGTATATAAGGGCTCCTCCTCTAGGCCTGTTGGGATGTACACTGGCTCAGAATAAGAAGGAGTCCAATCTGGAGAGAGGGGGGAGGGGGAGGGAGGGAGGGAGAGGGGGAGGGAAAGAAAGGGAGAGAGAGGGAGAGAGAGGGAGGGAGGGGAGAGAGAGGGAGAGAGAGGGAGAGAGAGGGAGAGGCATTACTTGAATATGTCAACAGTAAAAAAAGGAAAATTTTATTGGACATTTTAAAATTGTTCATTGGTAGATCCAGGCTACAATTTAGTTTTGTGCAGGGTTAGATTTTTACCGAGGATTCATTGGCAGTAACAGTGAATATGGTCACACTATAACAAAATCCATAACATTTCACCTGCTCCTTGTTCTGTGTTGTTGTGGTGCGTAGTTCGTGATTATGTTGTGTCATTGTAGATTGTATACTCAAGTTTCTGTTTCTCCGGGACATTTGATATCTTTCTGACCCATCTTTGGAAATCTTGCTCCACCTTTTACTCTTCCTTTCCCTGCATCTTCAGCATCTTGCCTGATAATGGTTGTCTCCTGAGCTTATAAACAAGCTCCAGCATCTTCTGTCTCCCCGAAGATGGGCTATCCTTGGACCCCACCTTCATCTTTAGCTATAGCAGCTTCCGTTTTCTTCATTATTGTTGGGACCAAGTTTCCTTCTTTCTTTTCTTCTCTTTTTTAAAGGCCAGGCTATGCTGGTCACATTTATATCACTTAAAAAAATCAATGTGCAAAAGAAACGTCCATTAGTTGCCTCCTGCATGACCCCAACTGGGGACCCTGCCCACAACCCTAGCATGTGCCCTGAGCAGAAATCAAACCAGCAGCCTTTAGGTTTTCAGGCTAGTACTCAATCCACTGAGCTACACCAGCTGGGGCGGGCCCAAGTTTCTTAAAAGTTGTCCGAACCACGCTCAAATGCATGGTCTATTCTGGACCATGATCTACTTGACTGGAAAAATGTGTTGACATATTCACAGCCCAACTACCCTAGCTGTTCCCATTTTTAATGGAACAAGGATCTGACTCATCACCTTACTTCTCTTTTATTATTGGCTTATGTGTGTCAGACTGTGCTTGGCCTCGGTAATGAATATATTCCTAGACAGGGAGCCAGCCTCTGTGATCACAAACACAGTCATCAGAACAGTAAGAAAAAAAAAAACTCATGGTGATAGACAAGTATTACTGCAAAAACATTTGGGGGATTATGCGTACAGTTATTTTAGCAACATAAGTATACTTGACATAATTATTAGGGGCCAAGTCTAGCTACAGAGCACAGATTAAATATTGATACCAAGAGGCATCTCTGCACATTGTCAATAAATTGAACAACACACAACCAGACAAAATTGATAATAAACAATAAAGGAAGTCATAACTAAAAAGTAATCTCTACTAGTTGAAAACTGTAATCGACTCAAATCGAAATGAACCCCGAACTGATAACATAGTACGGATTCTGAAATTTGAGGAGTTTCAGTATGGTGTCTGTATACCATCAAAAGCTGCGTGACAGCCAGACATCCCGGTTAAGGACAGGAGACTTCATTCATCTGTTACTGTTCTTCTTTAATTATTCAACAGTGAACGGTCCTTATAGTAAGAAGTATGAGGCTCTAGTATTAGAACTGGAGAAAGAATCTACAATAGGGTCAAGTTAGCAGCTTACCAAAGTACTCTTATGGTACCTGTGATTTTCTGAAGGGGTGCCAGACCTTTCCCAAGAGGTAGCGTGATTTTACATTCCCACCATCAGAGTACGAATGAGGCTTCTGACATCTCTATATCCACATCAACATTTGCTTTCTGATTTTGAGTCTTGTCATCGCAGCGGTGTAAAGTGCTATCTCATTGTGTTAATTGATTTGCATGACTTCCCTCAGAACTAAAGATGTAGAAAGTCTTTTCACGTGTTTATTGGCCATGTTTATTTTCTTTGTAAAATGCTCATTTAGATCATTTGCACTTTTTAAATTGAGTTGTTTTTTTTTAAATTTTTAATTAATTAATGTTTAGACAGAGGGGAAGGGAGGGAGAAAGAGAGGGAGAGGAACATCGATCGGTGGCCTCTGGTACGCACCCCAGCCAGGACCAAACTGGCAACCTAGGCAGGTGCCCCGCACCGGAGACCTTTCACTTTGCAGGACGACACCCAGCCAACTAAGCCACACTGGTCAGGGCGAGTTATGTCTTTGAAAATTGTAAGCGGTAAGAATTCTACATATTCTACACATAGATCCTTTTTATTGTTTTAAGAGCTCTATGTAAATCCTTCACCAGATAGTCTGCAAATATTTTTCTCCCATTCTGTGGGTTGTATTTTCACTTTCTTGCTAGTTTTCTTTAAAACCCCAAAGTTTTTAATTTTGGTGAAATCCAATTGGCCCATTTTTGTTGGTTGTTGCTTGTGTTTTTGGTGTTAGAGCTAAGAATCCATGGCCAAATTCAACATCATTAAGATTTACTTCTATGTTTTCTTCTAAGTGTTTGACCCATTTTAAGTTCATTTTTTATATGGTGTGAAGTAAAGGTCAAATTTCATTGACATTTCATGTGATTATTTACACAGTTGTTTCAGCACCATTTGTGGAAAAGACTATTTTTTCCTTGTTGAACAGACTTGCCCATTGGGTTGAAAATCAGCTGACCGCAAACACGTGGTTGATTTCTGGACTTCCAATCTGACTTACTAACCTATATTCCGATGTTCATGGCAATACAGGACTGTTTTGGTTATTGTTAGTTTGTTGTTTTAGAATTGGAAACAATGAGTCTCAAATTGTTCTTTTTCAAGACCTTTTTTTTGCATGCTATGCTAGGTTCCTTGAGTTTCCATATGAATTTTAGGATTGGTTTTTCAATTTCTACAAAGCAGGCAGTGTTCTGACAGAAATTGTATTGAATTTTCAGATTAATTTGGGGAGGATTGCTATCATAACAATCATAAATTGTCTGATCCACAAACGTTGGTACTATTCTATTATTTAGATTTTTTAAAGTTTTTTTAAAGACTTTTAAAATTTATTTTTAGAGGGGAAGGGAGGAAGAGAGAGAGAGAGAGAGAGACATCAATGTGTGGTTGCTGGGGGCCAGGGCCTGCAACCCAGGCATGTGCCCTGACTGGGAATCGAACCTACGATGCTTTGGTTTGCAGCCCGCGCTCAATCCACTGAGCTACACTAGCCAGAGCCTATTATTTAGATTTTGAAAATTTCCTTTCAACAATGTTTTGTAGTTTTCAGAGTATGTTTTACACCTCTCTTCTTAAATTTATTCCTATATTATACTTTTGATGCTATTGTATAATGAATGAAATTGTTTAAGTTTGTTTTAGTATTGTTCACTATAAGTTTATGGGAATATAATTGATTTTTAAAATATTGATCTTTAGCCCTGGCTGGTGTAGCTCAGTGGATTGAGCACGGGCTGCAAATCAAAGTGTCGCAGGTTCGATTCCCAGTCAGGGTACATGCCTGGGTTGCAGGCCATGATCCCCAGCAACCACACATTGATGTGTGTCTCTCTCTCTCTATCTCCCTCCCTTCCCTCTCTAAAAATAAATAAATAAAACCTTTTAAAAATAAAATAAAATATTGATCCTTTATCCTTCAACCTTGCCAAATTCATTTACTAGTTCTAATAATTGTTTTCTAGTGGGTTGCTTAGGGTTTTCTATATACAAGATTATGTCATTGGTGAACAGAAATAGTTTCATTTTTTCCTCTCTGATCTGGATGCTTTTTCTTTCTTTTTCTTGCTTAATCACTGTGACTAGAAGCTCCATTACCATGGTGTACAGAAGAGGCAAAAGTGGACATCCTTGTCTTGTTTTTCATCTTACAGGGGAAATACCCATTCTTTCACCAGTAAGTAAAATATTAGCTGTGAGATTTTACAGATGCTGTCCATTATATTAAGGACTTTCCCTACTCTCCCTAAGTTTTTTGACAGGAAAGGGGGTTGGATTTTTATTTTATTTTTATTTTTTATTGTCTGACTTTATTTATAGAAAATGTCCAGAATAAGCAAATGCACAGTGACAGAAAGCAGATTAGTAATTTTATTGTTGGAGGAGAGAATGAAGAATGATTGATTGATGGGTACAGGGTCTCTTTGGAGGGCCATTAAAATGTACCGATTTTAGAAAGAGGTAATAGTTACACAACACAAAAAATGTACCAAAGGCTGCTGAATTGTTCACTTCAAAATGGTTAATTGTAGTCAATGTAAATTTTGCTTCATTTAAAAAAGTTGTGAGCAGCTAACTGAACAATAACTCTGAGTACCACATCACACCTAACATTGTAAGACAGTTACTGAAAAAACTTTATAAATGGTAAAGTGCTCTACAGGTGTTAGCCAAATGTATGTCAACTGCAACATGTAGGTAACTATGACAAATAAGTCACTTCTGACATGCATGTTACTACTGACACTTGTCTATGAAACATATCAATTTGAAATGTATGTCAATTGTGATATGTCAGCTTCAACACATACACATGTGTGTTCACTGTGACAAGACTGTCAATTCGGACACCTCAAACTTGACACATTTATTGATTCCGATACATCAGTTTGACGCAAATGCTGGTCCTTGCAAACATCAATTCTGACACACGTGTAGAAACAGATGTTATTTTTGTGTTAATTTTGACATGATTCTGAGATGTGCGCATATTCTTACATATGTAGATTTTGACACAAATGTTGATTCGGACTTGTGTCGATTCTGACAGTGCACTGACTATTTATTCTACTACATGACCATTCAACACATGTTGACTCTGACACACATGCAAATTTTGACGCATGTTGACTTTGATGTGTGTGGGCTCTGGCCTGTATGTCCATTGTGAGACGTATGTCAATGTGACAATGCAGCATTGCCAGCAGATGACCACGGTCTCTCAGCTGCAGCAGTTTCCAGAAGCCGGCAGTGTCCCCAGCAGTAATTTCACGCGGCTGACTCATAACACTGAGCGAGCAGGGTTCCTGTTACATCAGCATTGGGTCAGTGTGCAGTTAGCACATCTTTGGTTCTTAGGATGGAGAAGATTGCTTCTTTAGTCATCAAAGAGCAAGGCCAGATCACTCAGGTTCCAGAAATTCTCAGAACTTCAAGGTCAGTGATTCTCAACCAGGGGCAATTTTGCCCTTGGGTGTTGGATTTTAAATAATGCTTTTTCTGTAGCTACTGAGAAGTGATTATACTTTTTGTCTTTTTTTATTTTATTGGTATGCTGTATTACATTATTTGATTTTATTACATCAATTATATTCATTGATTCTTGAATGATAAACTAACTTTGAGTTTCTGGATAAATTCTCCTTGTTTATGGTGTGCAGTTCTTTTCTTATGCTGCTGGACTCAGTTGACTAGTATTTTGTTGAGGAATTTTCCATCTACATTAATCGATATTTGTAGCTTTCTTGTGATGTCTGTCTGGCTTTGTATCCCAGGTAATACTGGTCTTGTACAGTTTCCCCTCCTCTTTTGCTTTTTGGAAGAGTTTGTGAAGAATTGGTAGGAACTTTTGGTAGAATGTTCCAAACTTTGCGTGTTTGGTAGAATTCATCAATGAAGATACCTGAGCTTGGGCTTTTCTTTGTAGCTGGCTTTTCTATTACTAACTCAATCCCTCGACTTATTGCGTATCTACTTATTTTCTATTTCCTCTTGAGTCAGTTTCAGCAGTTTTGTCTTTCCAGGCATTTGCCCATTATATCAAAGTTATCTAACTCACATCCCTTATTAGCCTATACCTAGTTCTCATTTAATTTGATAATCAGATCTTCCTAGTTTTCGGGCACAGTCTTCCCAGGACAGTTACCCACATCTTCAAAGTTTAGAATAGTCAAGCTTTTGAAAGTGTTCTCAATCATAGTACTGTTTGTCCTGCATTTGAGTTATCTGCCATAAAGCTTTAGGTGCTTCTGGGTTCTGTTGCTCACGGATCTATGTATATCCCTCCCAGAAGACCACAGGGTGCTGACTGCTGCAGCTACATAAAAGGTCTTGCTATCACATAGGCTGATCCCCCACCTTTATGGTACTTTTCCAAGTTGTTCTGGCTATTCTCAGTTCCCTCACTTTTGCATACAAATTTTAGAACAATCTTGTCTCTATCTACAAAGAAAATTTTAATAGGAACTGCCTGGAACCTATCTATCCATTTGGGGAGGACTGATACCATGATCATGGTATATTCCTTGATGTATTTAGAAATTCCTTGATTTCTTTCATTGGCATTATGTAGTTTTAAGCATACAAGTCTTCTGCATGTTTGTTACTTATATTTTTAAGTTATTGTAATGGTTATATATCCTACGGTGGCGGTTTGGACCACACAGATGTGCACCTTTGCTAAAATGCATTGACGGGTAGACTGCAGATTCATGCATTGCACTGGATGTAAAAGCTACCTCAAAAATACTGAAAGGAATAATAAACCAGGATTAAACTCCAGCTAATAATATGCATGCTGAAATGTTTATAGAACTTAAATATAAAAATGTTTGAAACTTACTTTGAACTACACAAAAATTAAGACAGTCTGACAGAGAGAGGACACATACACAGTAACTAAAAATGAGAAATAAGAGGTGGGTAATTTCTAAATTTATATACAAAATGTAACTTCCCTCTACAAAACCAGTTAGAAAATAACGTGCAATAAAGATTCCATCTAAAATAGCAATAAGATACCTAGCAATAAAACTGAGAAAAAGTGCAGGAAAAAAATGTATAATTATACTAAGGAGGGTAAAGGAAAACTAGAATATATAGTGAGATATACCTTTTTCTTGGCTAGGAAGATGCAGTATTGTAAAGACGTCACTCTTGTCTAATCTATAAACGTAATGAGATCACAATAAAGTTACCAGTATTAATTTTGGGACAACTAGGAAAGCTTATTTTAAATTCCATATAGAAATACCTATAATAAGGCAAAATAAGCCAATGCAATAAGGCAAAATACAATAAGCCAAGAAATTGGAAACATTTTTAAAACAAAACAAGGCACGTTGGGGGACTAAGTTTACCACATAACAAAATTTCTAGTTTTAAAGACGACAGCATTCAAGATTTCTGAGGCCTGGCCAGGCGGCTTGGTCAGTTGGAGCATCGTCCCCCACACAGAAAGGCTGTGGGTTTGATCTCCAGTTGGGGCGCGTACAGGAGGCAACCGGTTGATGTTTCTCTCACACCAGTGTTTCTTTGTCTCTCTCCCTTCCCCCTCTCTTGAAAATCAATAAACATATCCTTGGGTGAGGATAAAATAAATCAATATGTTTAAAAAAGGTTTTTGAGCTACCGTATGAATAGAGAGGTTAATGGAATGGAATAGAATTTGAAATTGCGCCTTGGAATTTAGTATATAATAATTGTGGCATTTCTAATCAGTAATAACAAATTATTTAATAATTTTGTTGGGACAAATGGCTAGACAGTTAATGGAAGTAGACTGGGTCTCACTTCTTCCTTCAAAATGAATTACTGATAGAAAAAAAATTTAATCGTAAAAAATAAAGCTTGAAAAGTGTTAAGAGAAATGTGAGAATTTCAAAACCCAGAAGCCATAGAAAAATGATAAAGTGATTACATAAAAACTAAATTTTTCTACATGAGAAAGATAAAAAGGTAAATGACAAACTGAGAAAAAAGCATGCAACCTACATGACATATTAAGCCAACCTCATAAATACACAGAGAGCACTTACAGATCAAGGAGAAAATCAGAAGGACAACCAATAGCAAAATAGCAAAAAATCATATCAGATAGTTTACATAAAAGGTCGATAAATACATCTGTTCATCACGTATATGTCTTTTTTGGAAAGATGTCTATTCAAGTCCTTAGCACGTTTTAATCTGGTTATTAGTTGCTACTGAGTTGTAGAAATTCCTCAAATTTTAAATTAACTCCTTATCAGAAAGATTTAAAAAAAATTTTATTTTAATCATTGTTCAAGTAACAGCTTTCTGTCCTTGACTCCCATTCCAGCCCACCCACCCATCCCTCCCCACCTCCCTCCCCTTTCTACCCCCCCAGAAAGATGGTTTGCAAGTTATTTTTTCCATCCCACAGGTTGCCTTTCACGGTATCATCTCCTTTGCTGCACAGAAGCATTTCCGTCTGATGTCGTCCCACCTGTTTGCTTTTGTCACCTCTGCTTTCGGTGTCATGTCCGCATCACTGCCAAGAAAAATGTCTTGAAGCTTTTCTCCTGCGTTTCCTCTTAGGAGTTTTATTGTTTCAGGCTTTATGTTTAAGTCCTTAATACATTTTGAATTGATGCTTTTGTAGGGTGTAAGACAAGGGTCTGATTTCGTTCTTTTGCACGTGAATATTCAATTTTCTCGACATTTGTTGAAGAGACTATCCTTTCCCCATTTGTGCTGTTGGCACTCTCATCAAAGGTCAGTTGAACATACATGCGTGGATTTGTTTCCGAGCTCTCTGCTCTGCTGACTGGTAGGTGTGTCTGCCTTTATGCCAGTACGATACTGTTTTGACTTCTGTAGCCATGCAATATATTCTGAAATCAGGGAATGTCATGCCTCCAGCTTCGTCCTTCCTTCTCAAGATTGATTTGGTTATTTGTAGCCTTTTGTGGTTCCATCTGAATTTTACCGTTGTTTTTCTGTTTTGGTAAAAAATGTCATTGGGGTTTTGATAGGGATTGCACTGTCAACATCACTGATCTTCAGTGAAATGGAAATCAACACTGCAGTGAGATACCATCTCAGACCTGTCAGGATGGCTCTTCTTAAAAACAAAACAAAACAAAGGACAAACGTTAGCAAGGATGTGAACAAATTAGAATTGAATTGAAATGTAAGTATGAATGGACAACAGTTTTCAAAGACTTCATACAAAAAAAATGTAAAATATTTTGAATATATGGGTAAAGTAAAAAATATTTTTGAAATCAATTTCACTTGTTTCTTTTTACCTTTTTAAATGTGGCTACCAGAGAATTTTAAATTATATATACAGGGTTGGCAAAAGTAGGTTTACAACTGTGAGAATGTGAAACACAGTTTATTCTTCTGTTATTATTTATTAACTATTGTATTATCTTCCGTACAAATAACTGTAAACCTACTTTTGCCCACCCCTGTATGGCTCACATTATATTTCGGTTGGAATGACTATTCTAATGCCAGGAGTCTTCTCATTAAAATCAGGGTTGGTACAGTAAGTTTACTAATAAGTGTGGACCCCGTCACTGCTAAGAACATACCAATATGGTGGACTTTTTCATCGATGACCTCACAGTGGTACGGCCACCGTGTTGGGCTCAGTGGACCAGAGGAAGATACGCCAAATAAATCGCGTGGCTCGCGAAGACGAGGCACCCACTTCCCTCGCTGACATTGCAATATAATCTGTGTAGTCCTCGGGAAAAACGAGTCACTGATGGAATCAGCTGGAAAGAGATTCAAACACAACCACAGTGTTAAGAAGCAAAACTCCAATTCTTATAATTTTTTATGTATTCCTTTTTTTCTCTAATATCATTCATTGTAAATATCTGTGAATATAATTATTTTATAATTCACAGCATTTTAAAAATAAAAGTACTAATCTTTTATTTTGTAACAGCTGATCTTCATAGTAGCTAAAAAACAGTTGTTGATCTCAAATAGAATTAATTTATGCTAAATTGTCACTGCTATTCCAAAAACATTTTGGATTTTGATAGGGATTGTATTAGTTTCTTGCAGCTTTTCTAGCAGGCTGTTTACCATTGAGTCCTCTTAAACTTAATCACACTGAGCTCTGGCCCGGTAGCTCAGTTGGTTGGAGCATCATTCCAGTGTGCTAAGGTTGCGGGTTTGATCCCCAATCAGGGCACATACGGGAATCAACTAATCAGTGAATAAATAGAGTGGGACAACAAATCAAACAGTCTCTCTCTCTCTCCCTCCCTTCCTCTCTCTCTCTAAAATCAGTTAAAAACCCCCACAAAACTTAATCACACTGAGGCAACTATGTGTCTAACAGATTAAATACACCCACTGATCACATTTCCTCACCACCTACTGGAATTAAAAGAACATTTTGATAATTATATTGATGATTTTGGAGTAGGGGCTTTTGTAGCTTAACCAGATATAAAAATAAAAAGCCACAAATGAATAGTGATAAAACAACATCAAAATAATTTCAAACAATGAAAACAATGTAAACAAAGTTAAGAAAAGATTACTATAACAGAGCCATAACACAAGGGAATATAAACAGACAAGCATATGAAACAATTCTCAATTTCTTTCGCAATCAAGGAAATGTTGGTAGTTAAAATAGTGAGTTTCCTTCTTTTTCCTAACAGACTGAAAAAGTTTTAAAAAGAAAAAAAAGGGGCAACAGGAAGTGTACCAAACAGTACTACAAGTTCTCTATGAGTATGATTATAGATCTGTGTGGGAACGCAAAGAAAAAATTCTAGAAGGACAAACACCAAATGGGGAATAGTGAGGTTATCTCAAAAGTGAGGATTTGCTTTGGGATGGCAGAGAAAAAGACAAAATAATAAAAAATAAATAAAGGTTTTATCCTCAATTTCAAAATATCTGTGATATGTGAATATTTAGAAGAAGTATTTTAGTGTGTATTTGAAAGTACAACTCTAAATGTATAAATTTAAAAAAATCAAGTCTACATCAAGATGTACACACACACACACACACACACATACACACATATATATACATCTGCAAATGAATGACTTCAAGAGAAGTCTTATATGGGCATACTTCATTTAAATAAAGATGCAGTTCCAAAACATTGTATCCATTACAACTCCAGTCATGCTGTAAACGCAGTTAATTTTTAAAAAATTTTATTTATCTTTAGCATTTTTTTTTATAGAGAGGGGAAGGGAAGGAGAAATGGAGAGAAACATCAATGTGTGGCTGGGTCTCACACATCCCCCACTGGGGATCTGGCCCACAACCCGGGCATGTGCCCTGACTGGGAATCTAACCAGCAACCTTTTGGTTTACAGGCCCGCGCTCAATCCACTGAGCTACACCAGCCAGGGCTGTAAATGCTTTTAAAGAGTTGCTTATTTAAAGAACTGTCAAGGTAAATTCTTATGTTAAGTCCTTTATCAAGTATTAACCATTTTCATTTAGTTTCCTTAAAAATTAGGTTCATCTAAAACAAACCTTAAGAGTTTTAACTCCAAAAGATTTTTATAAAAGTGAATACATTCCTCTCTCCTTATTCAGTAACAGAATAATTCCCTAAACTATGCAATCTGACTTTTTTCTAGTTTCCTCGTCTTGTTATTTTTCATCCACTCAAGGTAATATCACAAAGATACATGGATATAGAAACATATGTGTAAATTCAAACCTGCTAGAAGTGCGCACTGCTGGAGATCTTCACTTGCAAATTTCATGAAGGTGTCCTCATCCTACAAGAGAGTTTGAAAGTATTTCTCTTTTAAAAACCAACAACTTCCAAGTCCAGAATTTTTTTTACATCTAGGTTGCACTCAGAATTGAGTGCATGTGTTCACTATTTGATGAAAAAAATTACAGAATTATTATGGGCTCCTGGTCTCAAAGCACCCAATACTTCAAATATCCTGAAACCTGAAAGTTTTCATCTTTCATTCCTTTTCTTCACATTAATGACTGTAGGGAAGAAATAAAGTTTAAAGATTCTTGGTAAACTTGGCAAAAACCATTTAAATTAATAAAAATTAACAACAACAAAGAACAAGAAAGAAAAGAAACAAAGAAAGCCAGACTTACAAGGTTATACATCATTCTGGGGAGATTATTTTGGGACCTTATCTTACACACATGGTAATTGATACTATACTAAAGTGTGAAGAAAATATCTCACAAATATTACTAGAATCAGACAAAATATTTTTAAATACTGCATTTTGTTGTCCTTCCCCTTTTCTTCCTCCATTCCTTTGCTTTGTTACCTCAGAGCCACATCGAAACTATTACGGAGCTACACAGTAGGTTTAAAACACAGGGAGGTTCCAATATCATATACCATGATGAATACAGTAGAATCAGTACACATGAGAAAGTGGACAGGAATGATAAAAAACCCTAATAATGACTTAATACACACATTTTAATAAAACTCATAAGACTCCTACCCAACTTTCTTTCTCATAAAAATGCTATCACTATAGGGCACACCACACAGAGCAATATCTTGGCTTTCAATCAAATTATTTCCCAACTTCGCTGACCAGTGCTTTAAACATCTGATTGATTCTGACATCCAACTGACTGTATACTACTTTTCCTGGGAATCTCTGTAACACAAGTTTCATCTCAAATGAAGTAAGACGAGGTTGAGGAAAACGTACTGATTCATCTCCACTGATGGTTCCGTCGGAAGAGTCTTCCTCTTCTGAGTCTTCTAACGGCATCACTTCCGTGTTTGGCTCGAGATTTCTTTTATTATGTAGGCAGGCTGGAAAACAATGTTTAAGGAATTTACTGACAATCATCTTTTTAAATTTAAAGTGTTTACTACATTAAATGAGTGCCCAAAATATATTCGATAGTATTTAATTGACAACGGGCTTCTTTTAAAAATTAAGTTACTAGGAGATAGCTACATAAACATTCAATGTCAAAGATTTGAAAAATTTTTTCATTTCTATGAGACCAAATCGCAATAAAAGACAAATCAAGTAAATAATTTAATTGAAAAAGAATTAATAGGGTACACAGCCAAATCACGTACGCCCTGTATTTACAGTTAAATACCAGAGAACAATAGCAAGTTCAGAATCATCTCAACGCTTTAAAATGATCATGAATCCAAAAAAAAAAAATTGTAGCTCCTTATTCAGGAAGTTAAATGTAGCAATAGAGGAAATGTATTTTCTGCTAAATTTTCAATGGACCAACAGTTCAAATGCCTACAACAGACTTTTCATATTTTGATGAACACTCTGTAGATACTGTCTCTACAGTGTTCTAATAATCAGTTATATTCGTCCCACTGAAATCTCAGTAGCTCTCAGAAGGTTGCATTGGTGATGATTATTACCTCTCTGATGCAAGTATCCTCCCAAGTGTGTATTACTAAGACAATGAAATAATAGAAAGATTCTATTATTTTTGAGACCAAAGGATTTTACCAGTTCCCAGTCTATTTGTTCAGGCTCCTCTTTACAAAAAAGCATGTTTTGGAACAAGACTATACAGAAAAAGTCCAAGCTCCATAGCAAATAACTACAAATGCAACAGACAGGTCTGTCTTTTTAGGACCTTCAGAAATGAGAGACTGAAGTTTCAGCCCTGGGATCCCACAATTCCAAATTTGGGAAAGTGGATTGGCATAAACCTTGATTCTATTTCCTTACATGGGCATATGAGGTACACCAGTGTAAGACAGGACAAGGATCTTATTGTCTGGGTGGTTCTTACTAAATGCTATTCTTGCTAAATGTTAAAATATAGGTACAGTATCTGCAGACACAGCTGTAACCTGATGAGCCTAACTGGAACCCAACCAAATATGCTGAGCGAATCGCAAAGAAGAAATCAACATGTAATTAGCCAAATAGTGTATATAAGGATGGCTAAGCCTTCCTGTGGGGAGACAGAGCTTTGGATGTGAATTGCCTTTACTGGCTATAACTAATAAAACTACCTAACGACAACCACACCTCTTTTTTGAGGAGAACACCCCAACCAACCAACCCGTTGATTAGGGTAACGCCAACTGTGCTGACCTGAGCTTTTAGATGGGCTACACACTGATGTTCTAATGGGCACCCCGCGTGTATCTTCCACGGCTGAAGCAGAAGAGGCAAAAGCGGACGCCTCCACGCCCAGCTACGCCCGGCAGGTGTGCGGGTAGGCGCGATGACTTTCTGGGTGGGAAGGACGATTCAGCCACAATTCGTGTTGTCAAGGTGTTCCTCTCGCGCTCACGTCTGGTCACTGCAGTGTGGGTAGTTCATTTTCCCCGGCAGGTCTGTCCAGGTGCGCTCGTTCCCCGCACGGGGCGCCCCGCCTGTGATTTCCTTTCCTTCAGAATCGCACACACGTCACTGTCTGACCTCCCCCGGCCCCTCGTTCTTCCAGCGGGGCCATAGTAACCTTTCCCTTCCCGGATAATTAAGGTTCGCTTCAGCAGCCCCAGAACCACGCCCTTCACCAAGAAGCGAGGCCACTCGTTACCACGGCAACGGGACCACCATCGCGAGACTTCAGACAGACCTCGGATATCAAAGGGAGGGAGACCCGGAGGGATGACGGGGCGTAGAGGCAGGGAGAATGCCGAGTGGAGTGGAAGTGGACCCGCAGGGTAGAATGAGGCCAGCAGGAAGTTTAGGTGCGGCCCGGCGGGACACTGATCTGTTTCTGGGGTCTGCACGACGGTGGTTTGCCGTGGCCCTCCTCCGAGCGAGGAGGCTGTGGAGCATGCTGGTTAAGACTGGGGCTTTGCTGGTCTTTATTCCACCCCACCCAGAGTTGCCTTCTGGCACATTTGTGTGCCTAATGATCTTTATTTGATTCAGAAATGAAAAATTTTCCTTTAAAATACTTGATATAGGAGTTCTAGGTTTGCTGGGGCGACCTCTCCAGCTCAGAGATCCTTTAAATATAATAATCATTAGTTAACATTGAACACAGATCTGGCACTATGTAAATCGCTTCACATGTATTGCCTCATCTAATTAATTATGATCTTCCCATAACAGATTGAGACATTATTCCTGCACATCCCATTTGATTTTCTCCTGGTCTTTAGCTCTGGTGGATAATTGAATATATTTGGAACAGTTTTCAAAGTAGTATTATTGCTTGGGGAAAAAAGTCTAAATGTTTGGTTCCTACTTGGGCATTATGTGTCCTGAGATTTGTCATACTGTAGACATGGAGGTAATGAATTATAGCAAGTTCGAAAGTTGAATAAAGGGCAAAGCACTTTGGCTTAAGCATGAAAATGGATCACTATCTTGAGATTTTGTAAGTCTATGAAAAATAACAGGTTTGCTTTTTTATTTTGAGGTTAGTTTAGCATTTTAGAAGTTTGGACCTTCCAGAAAAAGAAACAGAGCAAGCATATGTTAGATAAAGCTCCCTTGAAAAATAGTTATCCTTTATCATTATTGTACCTTGTTTTATGCCCTACATGTGTTTCTGAAGGTGACATGCAGAGAGAATTTTTATATATGGAATCTATTTTCTGGTTGGATTTTGGAGCCGTGGTTGTGAGCCATAGGATGTCAGGTGTACAGTGTGAAGCTCCAAGAAATGATCTAGCTAGGTGTCCCAAGAAATTAGTAGCAGAGCGGGGATTTAAGTCCCATGACTTTTAGTCCAGATATTTAAATGATCATATTTCAAGTAATCCTATAGAAAAAATATTTTAGTGCCTAAAATATCTAGAAATTAAAAAAACTTTGAAAATCATAATTCATTAATTCAACAAGTATTTATCAAACGCTCACTACTTGTCAGGGACTGTTCAGGGTGTAGGCGATTGCATGGTTATAAAGTATTGAGAGAAGACAGACAAACCAATGGAAAACAGACACTCAGGCAATGGTAACTGCTATGGAGAGAAATAAAGCAGGAAAAATAGAGCATGAGGAATGACCTGGGTCTTCGCAGGCGTGTCCAACCCACAGCCCATGGACTGCATGCAGCCCAGAATGGCTGTGCATGCGGCCCAATACAAAATCGTAAATTTACTTAAACCATTATGAGATTCTTTTTGTGATTATGTGTCTCGATGTATTTAATGTGTGGCCCAAGACAACTCTTCTTCTTCCATTGTGGCCCAGAGATGCCATAAGGTTGGACACCCCTGGTAGGAGTAGCTCTTTTGATGGGGTGTGCAGGGAAGCTTCTCTGACCACGAGGCATTTGAGTGGAGACCTGAAGCAAGTAAAGGGAAGAGCCATGTGGCTGTCTAGGGGGAGACCTAGCCAGGCAGGGGAAGCAGCAAATATTGTACAAAGGCTCCAAGAGAAGACCACAGTCATGAATTGTACTAGGCAGTACTGTTCAGCCAAAGCTTGGCTCAAGTGAGTATCATTTTAAGGGAAGAGATTTCATTAGGACTTTTTTTTTCCTTCCCCAGATAAATTAAACATGGTTTTCTTAAGCAGCTTCTTCTACTTCTTCCTTCTCCTTTTTAAATTTATTCTCCTATTACAGATAGTGGTATGTAGGAGAAACAAAATTCTTTGCATCTAGGGTGCAGTGGAGGTGAGGCAAGGGCTTGCTGTCAGTCTGTTGTTCCTCTTCCCCATGATCTTATCGGAGAAGGTTGCCGGACCTACTCCTTATACAGCCAGCTTCTGCCTTTTACCCCTCCAGCAACCCGTCCTCTCATTTTTCGTGAGTATTTACTCCAAGCCTGCGGTATATAAAAGGAATATAATAAGAGTAAGAAAAGAGGAAAAGAAAAACCAAAACAAGTCTCCTAAAGACACAATTATTAGTGTGGGAATCAGGAGGAAAGTTCACTCTGGCAACATGGCCAGATGTGAGTTGTGTTAGGATTATAATTTATGCTGTATAATTATGTCATTTTGAATTTAATGACCGGAGACTTAAATGGGAACATGAAGTGACTAGGGCAGAGTTATTTATGACATCACAGAGGTTGGTGGTTATGTGGCTATAGCGCTCTTGTCCTGATTTGGCTGAGGAAGCCCTGCTAGGTCCTGCAAGCCCTAGGGTCCTCCATGTAGTACCCATCTTGGCCTTTCTCAGACTATCTGGGTCTAGAACTCCCCAATATAGCGCTGAACCTCACATAATGTTTCCAAGCTCAACTCATGAGGTGTGTCCCAGCCGGTCAGCTAACCAAGACTGGGCTCAAAGGTCATCCCCACAAGGAAGTCTTTCCTAACCCCTCTATAATTGGTAGAGTTAGTTTGGAGACTGTGTCTAAATTTGGGGACCATCGGGAAACATCGCTCTCCTAAACACTTGGAAAGGAGGTAGTAAGAATGCCCCTTGCTTGCTCCACAGAAAAACGGATAGGATAAATCACCTCAAACAAGAAAGACTAGTTCCCAGGGTTAGTGTCAAGTTTCATGACGAAAAACATGAAATAGCCTTTTTTTCCCCCTCCCAATAACTGCTCCTGAATGGTAATGGTGAAATCCCCCTTTCCACAGAGGACGTGTCACCCAGATTCCGTAAATTTTCAGCCACACTTAGCTACTAAAACAGTTTCATTTGGGTATGTGAGATTTCATTCTGGGATTTGGTATTAAGTACTATTTAGACTTCCATTTCTAACTCAATTCAATTCCCCTCCTCCTTCCTGGTCCCCAGCTCTAGTGGCTTGGGAAGTGGGAGGAAGCTGGTGTTTTGTTATTTATATCCAGCCCCCCCCCTTTTTTTTTTTAATAGATACCAGTTCCTTATTGTCTTAGGGTGATCAGGGGTTGGGGAGGAAAAAGATGAATGTCTCCTTAACTGGGCCGAGTTGAAGTGTACAGTGTTGGCCTTAAGCATTGTTCTTGCTCTTTGTCTGTGGGCTTCAGGCAGAGAGCGTTGGCTCCCAACTGCCGCTGACAGGGGACCCTCTTCAAGGCCTGCTGCTGCATAGTGACAATCTCTTTTGAGAGATTCTGGGGATTAGAGGGTAGGGTGTGGGCTCAGGAGCCAATTGCCTTAGGTCAGATATTCCGCCACTTGGTAGCCATGTAAACTTGAGCAGGCTTTTCAATTTTTCTGAGCTGCCACTTACACGGGAAGTGGGAGTGACTCGGTAGAACCTGTCGTGTGGGGGTGTCCTGAGGATTACAAGAGTATCGTATAAAGGGCCTGGGACTTGGAGGGGCCCAATGAACGATAGCTGTCATTTCCATTTGACTAGCTGATCTCCAGTTGGTGACAATGACACCACATCCCTCTGATACTTGGTGACAATGACACCACATCCCTCTGATACTTGGGCATCTACTGGCCTTGCTGCGGTGAAGCCTGGATGACTCAAGTCACGCTGATTTAGGTTGAAAACTCATCAAGGAGCTAATCCCGTGTTCTGTATGACTTACAGCTCTTTTGCATAGTTTTTATATTAGTACCATCAGGAAGAGATGATTGGTTGAAGGAATTTTTTTTTTAATCTAGGTAGAAATGATCAGTTTGGGCTTCTAAAACCTATTTTAATGAAACTTTTGGGGGGGAAAATGCCAATAGAGAACAAAAGCTGACGTCACTAAAAGCATGCCTTGGCAAAACTCTGCTGTTAGAGCTGTATCAGGTCCAGTCAGAGGCCAGTATTCTTGACGGGGCTGAGATGCAGGGCTGAGCGGACCCAGGAATTACAAATGTGGGAATAAGGGTGTCATAAAACAAATTGATCTCTCAGATCTCTAAGAACCCTCCAGACATTGACAGCAGTACATCTAGCAGTTTACAAACTGGGTTGCTCAGGAAATCATCTTGTGACTCACCGAGCACCACTATGTGTAGGCCACTGGGTATACCTCTGAGGGCACAAAGGAATACAAGGCAGACATTTCTTCTCTCTCTGATCACCCCAGATTGAAGTATTCTCTCCTCCTTCTAAACACTGAATTATGTGCTACATAATTCTAGGACAATTATGTACTAAAACCTTGTGATAGCTCATCTCTTAAATTCTTGAATTGCAAAAGAACCTATGCACCCTAATATTCATAGCAGCACAATTTACAGTAGCCAAGTGCTGGAAGCAACCTAAGTGCCCGTCAGTAAATGAGGGGATCAAAAAACTATGGCACATTTACACAATGGAATTCTGTGCAGCAGAAAGAAAGAAGGAGCTCCTACCCTTTGTGACAGCATGGATGGAACTGGAAAGCATTATGCTAAGTGAAATAAGCCAGGCAGTGAAAGACAAATACCATATGATCTACCTTTAACAGGAACCTAATCAACATAATAAACAAGCAGGCAAAATACAACCAAAGACACTGAAATTGAGAACAGGCTGACAGCGACCAGAGGGGTGAGGGGAAGGGATTACAGGGGAAAAGATGAAGGGTTTGCAGGAACAATTATAAAGGACACATGGACAATAACAAGGAGGGGGTGGGGGGAAGAGGCAGAAAACTGTTCTTGAACAATAAAAAAATTCTTGAATTGTTACTCAATGTTTTGTAACTTTCTAGGTCTGTTATTTATAGTTTACCTCCCCACTAGAATAATGCAATTGTTCCCCAGCGTGAAGGCAGGAGGAAATCTTTACACGAAGACCAGATTCCTTCAAGCTCCTCCTTACATTCAGGAAGCAGCTCTTTGGGAACCCATTGTCGGGAAGTAGTCTAACAAATCCTCATCCTTGACAGTTGAAGACTCTTTTGTTCTCTTGTCCCACTGGGTTGCCAAAAGTGTAGCCCAGCCTCTCAGCTGCCTCTTGTAATCAGCATGTACTTGGAAGCCTAAGAAATTCCAGCTGCAGAGGCAAGAGGGAAAAAGCAACAGGCAGCACAAAACTAGGGTGCTCTTGAAATGCAAACATATCAGTAATTGCATCCAATATAAAAGGACTTTAGTCCAGTTAAAGCTCAAAGATAATCAGACTGGGTGAAAACCCAAACTCAAACCACACGGTTTTCAAAGACGTGCATTTACACCTAAAGGGTATACAAGGGTCAAAAGTAAAGGGGTGGAAAGTTACGCTGTGCAAGTGCTGAATAAAAAGATAGCAAAACTTAAGGCAGAAGTCTTTGCTACAATATTTACTTCATCCTAATAAAATATTTAATTCACTAGGAATCTATATGATGATTCTAGATTTGTTACCTAAAACATGACCTTAAAATATGGAGAACAAAATGAACAAAGTTATGAGAACAGACACATCCATAGTCATAGTGGGAGATTTTTTACTTTTTTTTTCTTCAGTAATAGAACAAAGGAACAAAAACAAAAATCAGGAAGGATATAGAATGTTTGGACAACATGAATAAAAAGCTTGACACAAACAGGCACAGGATTCAAGTTAGGACCTCACTAATTCATCGTTTGTGGAAGAACACCTACTTAGGATCATGAGATCTTTTTTTCTTACCTGTGTTTCCATTTGGAGCAAACATGCAAGCAAGGATAGGGACACCCCTCCGCCACACCTGTCTCTACACCCACCAGACACTATAGCATTTACACCCTGACTATGCACATCGTAGAATTAATTTTCATCCCTCTCTAACCCGTCATCTTGGTATCGGTACTACAGACTGTATTCTTTTCATCGCTTCATTTTCTGAATGGACTTTCATGACCACTCTCTTACTGTCTCAACTTAGTGCCACTGCTCTTCTTGTTAGGACATAGAGGTAAAAAGGACTAATTCTTCTTTAAGTCACAGTAACTTAGCGCAGGATTCAGAGACAGCTCAGGAGCTCTGGGCTCACCATTGAAAACCTTTATGAGAAGAATCTCAGAGTTCAGACCAGGCAGCACTACATAAATATGCAAAATTACTACGAAGAAACACCTTTGGACTTAAATGTAATCGCCACTGCCTTGCCAATAGTAACTGTTCTGCAAACAAATGGTGTCTATTAAATGGGCATTTTTTTTTCGTAGAAGAAACCACCTTTGGGGAAACAGTCCTGCCCCCTCAGGAGGTGGTGTGTGGCAACCCTGGGAGTGCGAGGAGGACAGAGGGACGTTTCATAATTTTTTTTGAAGACCCTCCTTTTCCATCTTTTTCATACATGCTTGGTCAGTTGTCCATACCAAAGCAATTTTCAGTATTTTGTTAGAAAATCACCTGTAATAACAAGTTTAAAAAAACATGAAATGGCTTTTCTTCTTTAAAGAATGAAACCAAGACTCAAATCTGAAATACACATTTTGCTACGCTGTCATCTTTATTACAGCAAATAGAACTCCGATAACTGACATAGTACATAAAAACAAGCGAGGCAATGACATTTGGAGGAATTCCATTTATTGTGGATGCATTTTCACAATATATATTTATTGCAGCGATCAATTATCAGTGAAAAATATCAAGTGTTGATAAAATTTTCAGGAATGGCAGATTCACAGAACATGCTAGTCACTTTGCAGTTTTACCTCTTAAAGATAACAAAGAGAATTGTAATCAAACAAGTAAACACGGGATTCATTTTTTCAAAAGATTAAATCCAAACGGAACAAAATTCTACCCTAAAACTTATTCCATCCAAACACTGGAATAAAAGTCAGGATCGATATATTCTCTTCTCATCTCAACTTTAGACTTTCGAGAAAAAATATATATAATAGTGATCAGGAGAAGCTCTTGTTCAAAAGTACAACAAAGCAAATGCTACATGGCCGTGGGCCTTCATTCACACTTTGGTCCATTTCACTCCAGTGATGGGAGTCGATGCTCAACCAGACACTACAGGTGGATTCTAGTTCACCTTGTCATAGATTCCTATCTACCCTGTCACGGGTGGGTGACCTGTGCAATCTTGGTGGCTTTCCTTCCTTTGGCCCAGGTGTGAGAAAAACTAGAGAATCCAGCTACTCTTTACTGATTTTTGAGGAAAAGAGATTTTGCAAGGCAGTGGTCCCAGCTCATGCCAGCACTGCCCTGGCTACCTCCTCCAGGGAAATACTGTCGATTAGAAAATAGTCATTTGGGAGGCTCCCTCGGTGTGGTAGGGATTGAGGCCAGGACACTTTGGGTTAAGTCAAATGAGGTATCAGTTGGCAGAACTACCCTACATATCCCTATGCTAGAACACATTGCCGAGACGCTGGAGAGCTCTCTTCCCGTCAGTCGTGAGGAACAGAGGTACACTTACTTACACGCTTACACTTACTTAATAAGAGCTGATGTTGGGACTGCACGTGTAAACAAGATGAGTCGATACAGATTTTGGGGGGAAATGGTAAAACTAGTGCAAGTTATATATATTTTTGGAAAGTTCAGCACATTATCAACTTATGGCAAGTACCAATGACTAAGAATAAAAGAAGAAACATTTAAGTTACAAAATGGTTCAGTATGTTAAAGGCAGAAGGACTTTCATGACTTCTAAATGTGGATTGTGCTTACTTTTCGTCTCTGCTTGCAGACACGAGCCAAAGTTGGTCTCTTGTGCCCAGACATGGAATTTCACTGAAATTCTCATCTTTCAATTTCAGATGAGGACGAGACCTCAGGTATCACGCAGGCCATCCTGTTGGGAACTTGGTTGTTAACAGAATCAAGTTCTCAGCAAGCTTTTGGTTTGACCCAGATGGCAGATTTAGTAAAATTCACACTGGGCTTCAAGACTGCCTTTAATGATAAACTAAATACTATGTTTTATAGAAAATATCCATTCATTTTGACATTACGAATGTCACCTTTTTCTACAGGTTGTCTCCTGGGCCTTGAACACACGTCGAGACCTATTCCGCCATGTCTCTATTGGCAAATATGAATATGAATATAATATTGTGATTTTTTAATTTTTGAAAAGCTGTGATATTGGCTAGTTACAAGGACAGGCTGCTAAATATAATAGCCTAGCACATAAAGAAGCTCTCTACCATTAGTGTGTTTGTATAGGAATGCACATACATACATGAACAGGCCATCTAAAATGTGGTTTACTATCACTACCAAAGAAATCCACAAAGCAACCAACCTAAAGATATCGGTACCACTGTCTTCTAACATCATCCAACGTAGATATCCACCAGCATGAAAAAAAGGAACACCTTAACAGTACAATTAAAAGAACAATCATTATTGCAGTATCTCAAATCTGAAACGGGTTACTTTCAGAATGTGTTACAATTGCCTACTATGATGATTTCTTCCATGCTTTATTCTAAAGTGCAGAAACAACATGACTTCTGTATTTAAAATGAAAATAACAATCACGACAACGCACACTATGGTTGGTTTTTTTCTGGATACTGCACACATTCCTCAGGCAATTTTCATCTCGCGCCTCCTTTAGTCTGAGCTCCGACGTGGCTGGTGTCACTGTTCCGAGTTCCGATGGTCAGTAGAAAAGTCTCTATTTCACAGCATGGGTTTCTTTAGAAACAGGCTCCTGTGCAAAGGCAGTACTTTTACCACGAACTTCTCTAGACGGTGATTATTAAATAGAGTGACAATATACATGGCTTTACTGGGATAATGAAAAATAAAACAAAAGGAAATTAACCCAAATTGAGTAAATCAACATAAATAGAACACAGAGCACGTCAGCCCTCTGCAACTGGGCGGGTCCGGCCTCTGGAGGGGCTGCTCCGGCTTCTCGCCTGAACGGTCTCAGACCTGCGAAGAGAAGACAGCTTTAAGTCGGCAGGTCTCAGCGTTCCAGCCTGACATCTTGTGTCAGAAGAGGAAAAAGAATTGTAATATGCAGGAATAAATATTTATGAAAGGGAGGATTTTTGTGGGCATTCTCTTCAAATATGCTCCTCTTTGTCTGTCTGGTTGATTTTTTTCACTTTTTTCCTTCCTTCCTTCCTTCCTTCCTTCCTTCCTTCCTTCCTTCCTTCCTTCCTTCCTTCCTTCCTTCCTTCCTTCCTTCCTTCCCTCTCTCCCTCCCCCCTTCTTCTCTTTCTTCTTTATATTCTCTTTTGTCTGTCTTGATCTTTAACCTTGCTCAGGGCACTCAGAATCATGTTTTTAACTCCTATATAATGGCCAGGAATCGACAGTGTCCATTCCACACAGGCACACGTGAGGGAATGGCTCGGTCTCCGCCATGTGAAGGCGTGATGGTGACGTGGAATGTGCTTACCTCTGGTTTTCTTCCGTTCTTTGTTTCTCCCCTCCTGTTCTTGTACCCTTGAACCTGATCTGACTCATACTCTTATTTGTATGCCATTTCTTTTCCCCAGCTAGCTGCTAAAAATCCCTGCTGATGTATTCACACATACTCAAGTACGGTCGTCCCTCAGTATCTTAAGGGGGATTGGTTCCAGGACCCCCACGGACACCAAACTCCGTGGACACTCAAGTCCCTTATAGAGAATGGCACAGTATTTGCATATAATCTGCATACTGCAAATCACCTCTAGATTACTTATGTGAATGCTATATAAGTAGTTGTTACACCATATTGTTTAGGCAATAATGATAAGGAAAAAAGCCCGTCCATGTTCAGTACGGATGCAGCCATCGCAGGCCTAACTACACAGTACGTGTCGGCAACAGTGCAACTTTTTTCAAATATTTTCAATCCATGATTCCTTGAACCCGCAGATGCGGAAACTGAGGACACAGAGGGCCAGATGTTGAATTGCGAATCTGCATTTTCAAATGTGTGTTTTCACTTCAAATGACTGCCTGACACGTGGTGAGTTTGACATTTTGGAGCAAAGGAGCTCCCTGGTCTGCCACCCCAGGAACTCAGCTGTGGGCCTGGTGCTTATACTGTTATTGCCACAGAAAGACCCTGTCACCTTCCCACCTTGTACCACCCTGTTGCACAATCCCGCCGTTGTGTGTGAGTTATAACATAAGGTGTTTGGCTAGGGACACTCCCGCCATGCTGGTGTGTCCAGAGTGTCTTACTGGGAACTGGCCCGGGGGTCTGCACTGTTTGTGTTTCGGGCCTGACACACCTACAACGCTGGAGGCTCAGTGAGCTTGCACTTCGCCGCCCCATACACAGGTCTCTCTAGACACCGATGGTTCCCGGCTGTGGGGCAGGCAGTGATACTGATCTTTGTCATTTGACCCAGGACATCAGACTGCAGGGAGAAGCCCTAGGAAACTCAAATGCTCCCAGTAGATTACCTTAGTGGGGGATGTGACCTTGTCCACAGATTGCTTTTCCCAGAGGTTCCGCTTGCCAGATACGTCTCCTGGCCTCAAATCCTAGTGAGGAGAGAGCAGGAAAAATTCACACATGGCTATTTATGTTTTCTGGCCAGGTCTAACTAAATCACATCTGGTGTGTGTGTGTGTGTAAATCAACGTGTTGTTCAATACACTCTTCATCCTAGTGATCGGAAATGGATGGAATTGAAAGGACCACTGGCCAGTGTTTGTTTTTATATAGCTCTTGACATGTGCTGTGATACGAGAATGCGCTAGAACTATCCAGCATTTAGGTCCTGTTCTTTGCAAGGACTTACTGCTTACTGATCAGCGAAACTGGAATAATAAGCATATTAAAAGTAACGTAGCCTATTTCTAATGTTCTGTGCCTTTAGACGTGCATACAGCATAGACTGGTTTTACATGCGGTTGACTTTTAAACGATGTGGAGATTAGGCATGCCTATGCCCCCTCCCCGACAACCATGCACAGAAGAAAATCTGCATCAAACTTTTGACTTCCCCCCAAACGTAATGACTACTAGCCCACTGTTGACTGAAATCCTTACCAATAACAGAGACAGTTGATTAACACATACTTTGTATGTTGTTTGTATCATACACTGTGTTCTTAGAATAAAGTAAGCTAGAAAAAAACTGTGGTTAAGAAAATCAAAAGGAAGACAAAATACATTGGCAGTATTTATTGGAAAATAATCCACATATAAGCGAACCCACGCAGCTCAAACCCACGTTATTCAAAGGTCACCTGGAACCCCTTTGGGGGTGGATAGGCATTCCACCCCTTGCAGGTGACCTTTCGGAGCCCTGCCGAAGTCCCCGAGCCCTCACCATTCTAGTGCGTACCAGCCCGACTTCCAACTGCCAACACTGCTTTTCTTTCCCTGAGGACTTTCTCTGGGCACAGATGCCCACTGTGCCTACCAGGAGGCTGGCTGGACGTTCAGAGTTAACACCCCCAAGAGCAGGCCTCCAGCGCTCCCCCATGAGATCGGGCGTAAGGCTATTGCTCAGGCTCACTCGGGCCTCTGGTGGGACGAGTCTGCAGCCTGTGTTGTGCGGTGGCTTCCCGGGTTTCCCCAGTGGGATTAAGTTCTCATAGCCCATGTGGTGATTTGCTTAATAGCATTACTGATATTCCTGGTTGGCTGGCCTTCTTCACCTCCCAAGTAAACTACTTCTTCCACTGGAAGCCCTATGTGCAGATCTGCTTCCAGACAGTCTGAACTAAGACACTTCTCTAATTGCACTGTCCTCAGACTAAAATCATTTCATGCTTCCCGTGGAGCAAGGGGATAATTCAGAAGCGCATCAGTAGAACCTCGCCCCACCAAAAGCAACATTTACCATAAATTGTACCCACAAGAGAAACGAACACTTCATGATACATGTGAGAACATGTGGAAATCTTGGGAAGAAAACAGTTCTATAGCTTTGATTCTTTATTTGCTACCTCGTAATTAATTGGGTTTGGATGAGAATCCATGTTTCTGTTTCCATTTACTTTTCTTTCAGCATGTGCTTATATTAGTACTTGGCAAAGGGTAGCTCGTACAAAATAAATGTGTTTTAACTGAAATAGTGATGTTTGTTTTGGCACATCCTCTTCTCATTAGGAAGGCAAAGCTAACAGCAGTTGCATTATCCACGGACACCCGTCTCAATGGACATATTTTGACAGACAGTATGGAGGGCTCAGCCCTCCAAACTGCGCCAGGTAAACGGTACCACGTGAGGCATTTCAGATCTGCCTTAATCTCACTGAGTTTCTGGAGTTCCGCTGTGGCACGAATTCCTGGTGTTCTGCTAGAGAGTTACACCTATTTAACTTGGAACCAGTAAGCAACAAATCAGACTGTTTTTGAAGGATTCCACTAGATTTGCCAATGTAGGGTAAAGCTGCCAAATTGTCTGGAAGACTGTTTTAAAATTTTAGAAACTATAATTAGGCACATGCGGATGGAAGCTCTGGAAAGTGGCTATTATTACTTTATGTATTTGACTCCTAGAAGACAAATATTTTTCTTTCACATGAATGTTCTACAGAAGAAAATGGATTATAGCTCCTTTAAATCCTACTTATGAATCTTTTGCGATTACTTAAAGAGTTTGAAGAGTCTATTTAAAAAATATTAGCATCTAAGTAGTAAGTTGGCATTTTAAATCAAAGGGGAATATACATGAAATTACCTGACCAGACTACAGTTTAGAGAAAGACCCATTCCGGGAGAAGAGGAGGAAATGAAGCAGGAGAAGCAGGTTTCCAGTCAACCAGAGATCAAAGAATGAAGGAGAGAATTCAGCTGAGAAAGACTTAAAAAAAAAAACGAACAAGAAAGACAAATTAGCATTTTAATTTAGCTGTATATAACATGTAGTTCAGATACAAAGAACAGGCAAGCCAGCTAACATAGGCACACTCTGCACTGAAGTCCAAATACAAAGTTGCAGTCTGGTAAATTCTACCCACAAACAGCAGCACACGTCTCAGTAAGGGATCCCATGTAGATCAATGGTGACTTTTAAAAAAACTTTCAGGGCCATCAAAACATACTGATCTGACCAACTGTTTTGAGCACTTTTACTTCCTAGCATATAGGAAATTATACAACTTGGTAGAGGATGGTTTTTCTCTCCTGTAAACGTTAGAACTGAACACTAATCCCAAAGGAAAGACCAATTTCCTCTTGAGGTTTCACTGGGTGAGCTCTTTTTGGTGAAAGAATTTCCCTCTGATTTTTCCTTAATGGCCACGTGCCGGCCACCTGCAGATGCAAACCCAGGCTTTCCTCTCTACCCATATACACTTGGGAATGTAAACAAGCGACAGGGAATAAATCACCTCTGGTCCAAAATCAGAAGGCCACTTTGGGTGCCTACTATTTGCTGTTGTCTTTAGGGAGTCCTCTGACATCCTGGGCTCAGGGTCAGTATGACCAGAGTCCCAGAGGCATCAAACTCGGACATGTCCTATGATGGTCCAGGCTGGAAACATAAAGGCCTGGGAGGGGCTTGGTGTAGGAAAATCAGGAAAAGAAGGAATCAACAAATTCAAGAGACATGCCTCCACATCTCAAAAATATATTGAAATTATAATTTAAAAAATCTTCACCCCAGGATATATTTATTGGTTTGAGAGAGAGAAAGGGTGTGGGGGAAGATAGAGAAGAACATTGATATGAGATAAACACGTCGATCACTTGCCTCCTGTATGCACCCTGACCATGGATTGGACTACAACCTAGGTATGTGCCCTGACGGGGAATTGAACCTGCAACCCTTCAGTGTATGGGACAATTCCAACCAACTGAGCCACCCAGCCAGGCTCACATTATAATTTTTAAAAGGAAAATAAAGCACAATGTTTTGGGCAAAACAACACAAATCTTAGCTGCGGGCCCAGTGTGAGACCCCTGAGAAGAACTGGGCAAGATCCTTGCTTGACCTGTCTTTCTAAGCTGCCTTCCTGGACTTCACCTTTTGCCAGCCAAGTTCTGTGCATCTGCAGAACCAGCCCTTTCTGCAATTTGGGGATTTCATCTTTTTTCTGCTGGATCCACAGTGTCTGTGAGTTAATCTCATGCCTTCTTGGACTCTAGGTCATGTCTTTTCCCAAAGACACTGTCATGTTGCTACTCACACTGTGATAAATGCTGGCTCTGATACCCTTGAAATGGGCACAAAACACAAGGTTTCTTATTCAGTGTACACAAGCTAGCTTTTTATTAACAGCAGCAGTTCCATACTGCTTTCTTCCCATCTGGCTTTCGTTCAGGAAAGCAACCTAGTCTGCAAAATCCCATGGGTCGTGGGAAAAGAGATCACTACACTCTGCATGAACTGCCACATTCTCCTTTCCTTTTCCTTCTACCCTCTAGTAGATGGTCTAGCAAATGACTGACTAACTAGTAGGTAAAGCAGGCAATGATTTTGTAATGTCCCTGTAATTCCTTTTTGGCCTGCCATTTTTAGGAGGCTGTCAGTAACTCCAGAATATGGGGCTTTTGGTGGAAACCTTGACATAGTTATACCTAGTCTAATAACTGAATTGGATTTTTTCAGCCCTCCCATTAGGATGACATAGAGGATGCTAGGCTGATTGGTTAAAGACCTAATAAGAGTATGGGTCAAGCGCTGTACCAAATGTGGCTATAATCTGATATAGAAATGAAATAGGTCACAAATATAATAAATGTGAAAAAGTGACCATGCCCTGGCCCTGTAGCACAGTTAGAGTGTCATTCTGATATACCAAGGCTACGGGTTCAATCCCCAGTCAGGGCAGATACAAGAATTAACCAATAAATGCACAAATAAGTGGAACAACAAATTAATCTTTCTCTTTCCCTTTGTATCTCTAAAAATCAATCAATAAACATTTTTTAAAAAGAGAAAAAAAAGTGACCATATTCTCTAGCAATGTGCCAAATTCATCAAGGAGGAAAACATACCATTCTCCATCTTTGCTATTTTGAGAGTCCTTTAGTGGGTCCATGAACTTCTGGAACTTGAGTGGTATGCATGTTTTTAGGGGAGAAGGTCCTCAGATTTCATTAGGTTTTCAAAAGGGTCCATAATTCAAAAAGGTTAATAACCACTGGCCTGGAGCCACAAAATTTACATAAATTGCCATTAAAAAATAACTTCTACTTTACGTGTCACCTTGGGTGCTGGGGAAACTTAAGGCACTTCAGAGCACATGCTTTTGGGTATGATCCCTCACCTCCACTGTCTCCCCTTATAGGCCCACTTTCCTGTGTCTACTGGGAGAGGGGGAAATTTTTTTCAATGTTTAAAGATTTTCTAACTGTAAATTGGGCTTACATTAGTTTTATACCTCATCTGAGCCCTTGTGCCAAAAATCCTGGGCTGAATATTAATGGACTATGAGGAGTTACACTCAAGGAGGATAAAAAAAATATTTCCATTTTTTTCTTCTTAAATTGGAAAAGGGATACCTTTTGGTGACTTTGGAGGTTAACTATGGAACCGATGGACACACTTAATTGCTCAGTAGGTCAGAGGTCTAGGGGAATTTGGAAAGGTTTTCTTCTACCTCTGGAGTGGGGCAGTTATGACAGGTAAGTCTCTGCTTCTTTGGGTGCCGAGAACGCTATCAAAGCCGGCCTAGCAGAAAAAGCTCACCAGGACACAGTAGGGAGCTTAATAAGGTTTCTGATTACAGTGATAAATGCAAGGCAATTATCATACACATTTGATGCAAAGGTTAAAAGAATATTTTTATAGTAAGGTAGCCACACTTATTAAGAAAATTTTAGATTTCCAAAAATAACATTTGTAACCAGTTTTTACAGTTTTCAGTTTTATAAGACAGCTTTTCTTTGGAGGTGGTGACAAAAATTTATGGCAATTACTTCTGTTAAATTACAGAAGTTAGGCAAATTAGAAACTATGGGTTCAAAATCGCCAACATACACTTTCTTTGGAGAATAAGTTTAGGAGTGCTTTTAACAGAGAAGTGGCCAACATAACCTGACACTTTCGTTTTCAAATTCCTAGCTGAGATTTATAGAATAAGAGCTAAACACACAGACCAGTTAAGAGTGTAACTTTGAACGGCCTCTGAGTTCTGACTAACTTACCATGCCCAGGGTGTAAATTTGAACGGTTTCAGAGGTCTGGCCAACTCCTACCCTCTGGGCAATTAGCATGTAGCTGCCTGGAGCTGTTTTCTCTAAATCTGAACCACTCCTTGTTTGTTATTCAGCAGCAACAGCAAAGACCAGGAGCACTGTCCTTCCCGGGGCAAACAGTCCAAGAGCCCATTTTCTTCTACCACAGGAAACTGAGAGACCAAAGAAATTGGAAAAACCCAAAGCTACTTACAGAAGGTTTGGGAGCAGGTGACCGGTTGCCATCGGGGGTTTTAGTGAGCCACTCACTGATGCGGCTGGAAACCCCCACCTTCAAGCCAGCGGTTTCCTACAAGGAGTCAATGATCCAATATTAAAAAAAAAAAAAAAAAAGAAAGAACCTTTACCTGGAAAGAAATCTTCAAAGCAACTTCAAAACACTATTCAGTGTTATTTCACCTCACCATCCCATAACACCAGTTAATGACTGATCACTATAATTAATGTTTTGAGTAAAATAAACCTTAAACTTGATATTTAAAGAAAGTTATCTGGTTTGCTTGCCCCTGCATCCCACCCCACCGCACCCCACCCACCAGGTGGATGGTTAATTTCAGGGACTCTGTTTGCTGCGGCCAGAGCGCAGTACACAGTCTAACGCATCTGGGCTTGCCCTTGGGATGGTTGCCAAAGAAAGCAAGAATTACACCTGAATCTTCCCTGCTTTTATAATGAACTAGTGTGATAACTAAGAAAATACAGGAAAGAAGAAAAAGAATCCACCCTCCAACATTAAAAGACAGAACCCCCGTGCTCACCTTGTGGGGTGTGCCCGACGTGGCGGGGGACGAAAACACATTCCCTTTCTCCCACATGCTCTTGATGTTGCGAACGCCTTCAGCGGGCACGGGAAGATCCGAGGCTGCGGGCTTGGTGGGTTTTGCCGTTTTGGTTCCCTGAAGTGTGTGAACGATCTTTAGCATTGGTGCTATGTTTGTTCGGGTACATACTGTTTCCCTCAACAGGAAGCATCATTTGTAAATAGCAGTATCATATAAAAGTCACTGTGCAAATGCCTTCACCAAAAAGGAGAGTTCTAAGTTCTGTTGTAAAACTGCATTCTGATGACATATATACCTCAACCCCCACCCACCGCCCTCCGCCAAGATCTGGGTCATCAGAAGGTCTTTCAAAAATGAAATCTGCTTTCTACTGGGATGCGATTTATTGTTGCCTTTACAGTCTACTTCATTTCTTCAACAGCTGCTCGGGGATAGATGGTCCTCAAAACAAGACAGTCTACTCTGTAAGCTGCAGTGGACTTACATTTTAATAGAACAGAAAGATAGTAACTAATTATACAAGTTCTTAGTTCGCATTAAGAAAAATGTAGTGCTATAAAGTGTTCCAAGAGAGTACCCAACAAGGGAGTGATACTTAAGGAGTGATACTTAATCTAAGGGAGCAAAGAAGGCTCCACTGAGGAAGTGACATTTAAACCCAGACTGACGGGAGGCTTGGAAGGGACTTGGTGAAAGATGGCACAGACACTGTTCCATGCAGAGGAAGCAGCATTTATGAAAGACTGGAGGCAGGGATGGGCTAAAGGAAGGAAAGACCGAGAGACCACTGCATGGAGAACACACTGGGAGCAGGCAAGAATGGATGTAAAAGAGAGAAGTGTGCATGTGAGACACTTCTCCAGCAGGAGTGCTGGGCATGCCCAGAATCACGTCATTTCTCGCCCGGTCCTGCTTTGTGGCCTGTGTTGTCCAGGTGTCCGGCCATGGAGAGTGGCACCATCACTGGACTCGGCAAGGGCTGAAGCCACAGGTTTGGCTTCATTAACCCTATTACAGCCGTAATTAATTTCACCACAGAAAAATAACTCTCTGCAAGTGGTCTTATATTTTGGTGGACATCGAATCTCATGCAAATCACCTCTTGAGTGTTCGGAAACTTCCTCATTCATTTGATAAATCATTCGGATCTCTCTCTTACTCCCTCTTATCATTTATGTGATTGAGAATTATTTTAAACTTATCTCTACTCTGCAGTACAAACGAGAGGAGAAAATCAAATCGAACTGATCCAATTATTCCCTAGCAGGCGTTCTGACGGAGAAGGCAGCTATAGTCGTCGACTAAAGTCTATACCACGGAGAAAAACCAGGGTCAGGCCTCGGTTACTGCACCCCACCTTCTCAGTGCTTGGTGCTTAGAGATTTGGGCACTATTTCTAAATACGGTAGAACCCCTGGATCGGTTTGGTGGGAAAGAAGTTGAAATAGAAGCATAAAACTATGGACCTTTCAAGTATAAATAATCAATTTAAAATTCATGGTGATGAAACTCTAGCTGGCAATCATCTTTTTATTAACTCATACTACTACTTTTATTCGATAATATAAGTTTTTATAGACCGAAGATTAACCAAGGATATATGAGACCTGTTTAAACTACACACGGGAACTCGTTTTATAAGGAATTAATATTAGAAGAGGTACTTACTAACATATAAATAATATAGTTGAATATCAATAAACCAATTCATTCAAAGAATAACAGCTTCATTAAAGAACACTCAGGCTGAAAGTAGTGAGCAATAATTTATTTAAAAGCCTTCTATAATTCATCTTTATTACTGTTCTTCTCTATAACTAGTTCAGAGCATATAGTCAAGCACTATTAATGTCCTAACACCTGTGGTTACTGGACTTGATTCCTGTCCTAAGTGTTTCTATGGTCATTTACACAATCAGAGGAGATTTCTGTCTGACCATAACCCCGAGGACGTCCCTCACCTCGATGGCACTGGTGTACTGCTCCAGTCTGCTGTCGATCTTGGAGACGACGGCCGCTTGATGAGTTGATTTGACACCACTGTTCAGTGAATAAACACACACACACACACATCCATAAAAATATGAGAGAAAATCTTTCCATACACATAACGGCCAGTGATTCTCAAGTGAACAATCAATCATACGTACCTTTTCTGCACAGACTTATTCAAAAATTCTGCTCGCTCTTCTATCTAGGAATGAAAGAAAAGAAAACAGTTAATATTTTCATCTCGTCAGCAGTGTTTCTCACGCCATACCCCTACCCCCCTGAACCGGATGCAGAAAAGCACCAATAGCATCGAGGAGCATGAGGGTGCTGTGCGCAGCAGCTCTGCCAGAGGGAGAACCACGTATAAGGTCTTGGAGAAGGAGGGTCGAGAGATGAAGCTAAGACTGGCAGAGGGTAGAGAAAGGGCGGTAGAGAAATAGGAAGTTCCGGAGGCAAATTAAAGACTAGACGGAAGTGGTATAAAAGTGCCTTTGAAAATAATTTACATCAATGGCAAAATATATATATTTCAGGACCACGGCAATAATTTTTTTCTTTTGTGCCCTCTGGTATACTTTTAAAATTTGTCTACTTATTTCTTTACTGAGGTATAATTAATATGTAACATTATACTGGTTGCAGGTGTACAACATAATGATTCAATATGTGAACATATTACAAAATGATCAACACAATAAGTCTAGCTAATATTCATCACCTGATAAAATTTTTTTGTTCTTGTGATGAGAACTTTTAAGATCGACTCTCTCAACAACAATATTTTCCAAAAATACATGCTGTTACCCTTCGGGACATATTTATAGGAGTACACATGTACCATGATGCTCTTCGATGAAGACAACTTCCCACAATGTTTTGACTGTGTATTTGGTATGTAATAGAGTTGAATAAGAATGATTATCAGGAAGTGTGAACCACTCACTCACGGCTTAGCCTGGTTTCCTCCTTTGACAGCTGCCAAGCCTATTTGCTAACCTTAATCTGCCCTGCAAGCAGAAGATGGGGTGGGGGTGGGGTGAGCCTGGGGCACAGCTCATCAGTGATGCTGAGGCCTCCCATGAAGCCCCTATCAGCCCAGATGGGAAATAAGGAAATTAGCTCAGAGAAACTGCAACAGATGTACACTAAACAGGCAGTTCATTAGTCTTTAATAAATTCTCTTTTATTTTAAAGCTAGGAACTTCTTTTTGCTAAAGCTACTAAATCAAACATTATTTTAATGAGGTTGCATCACTTATATCCAGATCTTCTTTATATTTCAGCAAACATTTGTTGACTCCTTATGACACTCAACTCCAGACTGGAAATCATCCCTGCCACGTAGCACCTACCAGTATTAGCAAGCTGTGAAAGCTTTTTTGCATATAAGTGCACGTGCAACGTACAGGTGCTGAAGGGGTCCATTTTCTGCCCTATTCTGGGCAGCCAAGGGATCTACTAGACTACAGTTACCGCAGGCTGGTGTGGTCGAGGGACCCTGCAGTCTTCTGAGATGTGAGCAGACTGACCTGGGACTTGTGGATAATGAATAAACACCCTTAAGCTTTTTGGAAAACATGCTTCACTCCTAATGCCAGTTGAGTAATACTTTTGTAGATGTTACTGAGCGCACTGCATCTTTTCCAATGATTTCTTATGAAGATAAAAACAAACTCATTAAAAATAAAACCTTATGCAAGAAAGTGTTATAAGTGTCCCTGAGATTATGGGCTGTAAAAGGTCTTAAATCTTATTTTTCTGGTTTTAATATAAACATAGAAGTGCATTTCTGGAGAAAATGTTCTCAGTTGAATAAGGTGAAATACAATAGAAACCACACAATGCACTGGAACCTCTAATATATCCATCCATCCATCCATCCATCCATCCATCCTACTTCTAGCCTTGTCAGTCAGTTAATCAACCAACCAAACAATAAAGTATGTTGAGTACCTACTATATAAAGTGGAGCACCCAACGATGTATTAGATTCTTTTAGAACACATTTGAGTAGGGGAGACTAGTAGAACTTAGAAATAAAATATTTAAATTTCAAGAGATAAGACAATGCTGTGATTGTGGAAGAAGCAACTACTTGGGGGAGTTGGAGAAGGTTTTTCTGACATTTTGACACCTGAGCTGATATTTGTAGTTTATTGTTTCCATAGTTTTACAAATGAGTTTACGAAGCAAGGGTAGAAGTTAGAGGGCAGAGGACATTCCTAGCAGAGCACACATCTGGGGAACCAAGAGGCAGTGCAAACTGCCTTCGCCAATGCAAACGAATGAAGAAATGTTCAGCGTGGGGGGAGGACAGGGCCCAGCAGAGGGTATTGGCAGAGGTGAGACTTGTTCTCTGGGGCACTTCCAGCATTGTTCTGAGCCAGGGATTGTCTTGTTAACCTTGGCCATCACATGCATCCAACTTATACAGGCTCTCAGGTCTCACCTTCTCCTTCAATACAGCTTGAGTTCATGAGCACGTTTTGTCAGGTCACACCATCTGTTTACAGATGCATGCGTGTTGGGAAATTCCTGAACTTAGTGACTATGTAATGTAACCATTTGTTTTACTAAATTTGTAAATTAAATGTTCTGTGTAAGTTTAATGAGGAAAACTGGTTTCTCTGGAGACCAAGAGGTGGCAGCGTTGTATGGATAAAGCTTGGAGAGTCCTGGCTGGTGTGGTAAGTGGTTGAGTGCTGGCCTGAGAAGCAAAGGGTTGTGGGTTCGATCCCCAGTCTAGAGCACATGCTTGGGTTGTGAGCCAGATCCCCAGTGGAGGGGGGCACACGAAAGGTAACCACACACTGATGTTTCTCTCCCTCTCTTTTCCTCTCCCCTCCCCTCTCTAGAAAATAAGTAAATAAAATCTTTAAAAAAAACTTGAAGAAAAAGCATATTATTAGTTTTAGAAAATGATACTGTCTTTACTCCAGACTTCCTGTACCACCCATATATGAAAACAATAACAACAAAAACAAAAATTTAAATTTATTTCCTTAAAATGTATTCTTTGCATGTATTATGTAAAAAAAAAATCACTGCTAAAATAATTGAACCATGAGCAACCAGGTGCAGAGTTCCCAGACAGGAATAGGAGTCATGAGAAGTATCGAAATACACTAGTCAATAATACTTCAAGGACGAGTATAAAATGTCTTGCCTCCCACTGGCTTCTAGAATGTTAACTTGGGCCAGTTACAGAAGTCACAGGGCCATGAGTGTCAAGAGTCTCAGGAATCCAATCATAGACTATGAAATCCAGTTCTCAGACCAGAGCCATGGCAAGTTCTTCAAGGCACATACTATGGAGAAAGGCAATAGGTTGTCTGTTTCTTGCAAGTATGTTCTGTTATATAGAAATTAAAAAAAATTTTAAATGTATCTACTTTAATTGATTGCTCACATGTGCCTCTCTGTATGTGTATCCACCAGAGAAAGTGGGTGCACGCCTCCCCGGGGACCCAGGAGTCCAGCCGACGGAGAGACCAGAGAAGTTAAAACTTTGGTAGAAAGGAGATATTTGGAGAAGGAAGATGGGTTATAGTTTCTCCTGAACAGAAGGGTAGAAATTAAAGTCTAGGTCACTACCACTTTCCTCGTGTTAGTTACCAAGCCTGTCCAAGGAATGCTTAGCTTGGGCGGGATTTTGAGGAAGGTAGAAAGAGAAAAACGTGGTTTCCTTTGAGTACTGATGAGCCAGGAACCCGAGGACCTGGACCGGGAACAGGGCGGACTCCAGGGGTGGCCTGGAGGCAGCCTGAACCCAGCAGGTGTTTGACTTTCTGCTTTTTCTTCTATGGTAGCCTCTGTAATTGACAGCCATTTGCCCACGAGCCACACACAGCCCTCAAGCTAAGAATATCTGACATTGTTAAACGGTTGAAAAAAATCAAAAGCAGAACATTTTACAACAGAAGAAACTTCTGTGCAATTCACAGTTTGGCGTCCATAAATGAAGCTCAGCCGCTCTCTCCAGAGCCGCTCTCTCCTGCTCAGTCAGCTCTGAGCTCTCACCTCTGGGGTAGCCTGTGTCCGGCTGCCTTCCTAGTTCTTCAGTTCCCCGGAGTCAGGCAACTCTCCTGGGGCAGCCAGCTTGCCTTGGGGTTGTCTCCCTCATAGTGCACAGCACTACTAGGTACATTATAAAAGTCAAATAATACTGCCCCCAGTGGCTTGGGTTGGATCCCCCTGAAGCAGATCTTGACTACAAGTAATTTATTTGGGATGCATCAGAACTATGATGGGGCCCAGAAGATTGTAAAGAGTGAGTGAAGTTACTTAGGGATAGAACATGCTGATTTGCCTGTGAAATGGGTAATAACTATAAAGTGTAACTGGTTTTTGGTTATTTTATTTTAGCTTCACTGGAGGACATGCTTATGCATTTTGGAGAAAGAGGGAGAGAAACATTGATGTGAGAGAGAAATATCAGTTGGTTGCTTCTTATACACATCCCCAACAGGGGACTCAACGTGCAACCCAGGCATGTGCCCTGACCAGGAATCGAACTGGGGACCTCTTGGTTTACAGGGACGCTGCTTCAACCAACTGAGCCACACCTGTCAGGGCAAGGGTTTCTGGTCATTTCAGTGTGCCACGTAAGACCCCACACACATTTGTGGACATGCACCCACACACTGTAACTGCCTGGAGCCTGGCTGTGGTTCTGTACTGGCTTCGCCAATGGTGGATGCTCTGTGACTTAGGTAGGTCGATGGAAAACGAAGGTGAAATAAAAATGTTGAAAGTTCCTATCTCCGAAGATTCATTCATTCATATATCCACTCAACAAATACTCAATGCTTATATTCACTGTGCCAGGAGCTCAATACGCCTTAACCTTCGTGAGCAAAAAATGTGTTTGAAGAAAATGGCAGCCGGAATCTAGATAACAGTGCTTTCTTGAGTCTGCACCCCTGTCCCGTCTCAACCACGCCATCACCCCACCCGCCAAGTCGGTGTTCCTGCCCATTCTCGTCTGTCGGCACGTCCATCTCACAGGAGCGATGCTCCGCGGAGGCAGCAGGTGCCCCAAACGCGCTCTGGCAAAGGACCTTTCCAAGCCGCATTTCATCTCCTCTCCTACCCCAGCTTTCAAATCTGAACTGTACCATTTCCAGCTGCCCGGCTTTTAATAATGACAAAGAAAAAAAACACATCAGCCGGTGTGAAAAGTAGCGTAACCTTTGTATTTGCCCATTTTATCCATGTTCCCCTTTTTGACTGCCCAATGCTCTGAGGCAGCTGGACAGCGCTCTGCAGACAACCACGGCCTGTCTTTCTAACGCATCCCAGGGGATCTAATGAGCAACAGACACGAATGCCCCCACCTCCTCGGCTTCACCTATGTTGGAAACAGAGAAAAGCTGTGAAGTGGCTGAACGGAGGAGCAAAAAGATAAAGGAAGCAAAGGCTTTTAATAATCAGTAACTGAGTAAGGGGCTGCACTCCAGCTTCTAAGATACGCTGGTAGAGACAGTAGAAGAAGGGTTTCTGGGGGGAACAAATACCTTGAGAGATGAACCTTTAGGAGTGAAGCACTTGAATGGCTTCTTGTCATCTGACAGGCCATCTTCCGGCATCTTCTGGCGTTTCTCAGCAGCTTCTGCCCTTCGTCTCTCAATCTCCTCCTTTAGCCTCCTCTTCTCTTCCTTAAGAGAGAACGAGCACGTGACTAGGGCACCACTGTCAGGTCCAAGCCAAGGGGAAGGAGTGCTGCAGGGGAACAGGCACAAGTCCCAGAGGAAAAAGACCGGGGTCCTAGCCTGGGTGCTCCCGTGTCCTCAAGGGCGGTCCCTGGAGTCCAGCTGCCTGATTCACACTCTGCTGCCGCCACGTCCCAACTGTGTGACCTTGACCACATCAGTCATCTGCTCTGTGCCTCAGCCTCTTCATCTGTGGCATGGGGATAATAGTAGAACCCGCTGAGTAGGGCTTTCACGAGGACTAAGTCAGAAAGCCCATGTAAAATGCTTAGGCCGGAGCTCAGTGTGACGATCACCATTATCATCATCATCCTGCCAAGTCCTTTACCACAGACCTCCCGTTTCTGAGTGTGTGAAATCGGCGTCACATATTGTGTAAATACGTGTCTCTCTTCTCCCTACTCTCTGGGGGAGTTGTGAAGATGAGTGAGAATGTCTGGGCCCAGCACCACAAATCTGCGGCACTACATCCGTGGAACTGCACCGGAGGTGATTTCACGGCTGCCCCCACCTCGGGTGAGCAGGTTATTGTGGATGGTCTGACACACCTGAAATGAGGTAGATATTGCTCACGGTGGTGAAGCCACAGACTATTCACAGTCTGTCTCATTCACCCCTCTGGGCCTCCCTTCACCGCTGGCCTGAAACACTCTCCCCTGTTTCTCTCTCAGGCGAAAGCTCCAGAGCTCTGATGAAGTCGCACACCCCCTGGGATCGATTTTCCGGGAGACTCACGTTGTCTTTTTGGATTGTCACGTTGTGAGATCTTTACCATTGGATGTTCTCAAGTAGAGACTGTCTGTCTGTCTGTCTGTCTGTCAGAGGAGGTTGCAGAAGGGTTTTGTGTATTGTAGACTAAGTGTCTGTGTCTCTCTGAAATTCATAGGGGGAAACGGTACCCTTCGGCGGGGTGATATTAACAGGTGTTTAGATCATAAGGGTGAAGCCCTGATGGATGGGATTAGTGCCTTAAAGGAAAAGCCCCAGAGAGCCCCTCGCCCCTTCTACCACGTGAGGACACAGCGAGCAAACGGCCGTCTGTGAACCTAGAAGCAACCCCCTCACCAGACACAGAGTCTGCAGGCCTTGACCTTGGGCTTCTCAGCCCCCAGAACTGCGAGAAATAATTTCTGTTGCTTTTCAGCCATCCAGTCTACGTTATATTGGCAAGAGGCTAGAGCAAATAACTTCCAGTTCAATCCAGTTCTAAAAATTCATTCTGCCTTCATTGGTACTCTGCTCTTCTAAATAATGGTTATCACCACCACGCCCTGAGTGCCTGTTATGTACCAGGCACCACTTAGTCATACAGCCATTCTGAAAGCAGGTGTTCCACAGACAAGGGCAGGAAGTCTCAGAGTGGTCCAGTGGCCTTCCCAAGGGCCCAGCTGGCAAGTGGCTGTTAGGATGCGAGCCCCACTGATAGCTGGACTTGGAAGAGATTTTGGGGTCATTTTCCCAAATTTTCCGCACAGCTTGGGGAATGTTAGTATCCGAGTCAGAAAGTCATGTGAAGCCTTTTTGCATCTTCTGAATGACAGGTGATGACGGTTCCCTAAGGTTGGCGGGGAAAGCGCCAGGCTGAGCCGGAGAAGCTGGGTCCCAGCACTTCCTACCACTCGTTAGTCAAGTGACGTCATGCAAGGCCCTCAAACTACTGGATTCCCGTTTCTTTGCCCCCAAAATGAGAATAAAAATGTACCTCAGCATGAAAGAAAGGAATGCACCTTGTAAAAGGCAGCAGTGTAAGTTGAGGTGGTTAAGGTAAGTACTTTTTCAGTTTTCAAAATTAGCCTTTTGGTAACTTTATTTGTTGTTTGTAGTTCCGTCTTAAAATACAGAACAAATTCATCTGCTCATAATTACTGGGTTCCCGCGACCTGCCTGGCACCGGGTCTGCATGCTGGGTACACGGGAAGGAACAAAGCTGATACTGTCCCTTGCTGCAAAAATGCAGACTCTTCCACTAGAAGAGCCCAAAACCTATTTTTAAAAAGCTCTCTAAAAACTCTTCCAACATCAAAACACAACCATCAAGTGACTCCTGGTTCTGGCAGATCTTTGCATTCTTCTCTGCGCTCTGTATTCGTTACTGAGGGACAGCATAGGGTAATGGATTAAGACAAGTGGGACTTCGGGAAAATTAAAAAAAAAAACACAACAAAAACCTCTCCATGCCTCAGTTTCCTCATCTGTAAAATGGGGCTGCTGTAATAGTTGGAAATTGTAACGGGGGGATGGTAACCCACCCCATCATTCTTTTGACATTGTTTCTATAAGTGCTGACTGACTAGTAAGGAGCTTATAGATGAAGAGCGTATTTGTACAAGAATGTTAGGAACTCACTTTGAAACGTACAGACTCTGACCTTCAAGCGTCCTGGTTCCGGGAGGTTTGCTGACCTTCAGCCATGGGGCCAGGATGGCATGAAGCCGGGATGACTAAACTAGGACGACTGACCCCGGACCATCTCCTGCCATATAGGAGTGGACTGTGCTCCTCTGCACATAGAGAACTTTGCAACCCCCTCCCTTGGTCTCTTTGTTCTGCCTCCCCTCTCCCTCCTCATGAAAACCTCTGCTTCCACTGAGAGGGGGAGATGGGCTTTGAGACATGAGTCCCCCATCTTCCAGGAGATGGGCTTTGAGACGTGAATCCCCCATCTACCAGACGGCCGGCACCTGAAAATAAACCACTTTCCTTTACATCGGGACCTGCCTCTCAAGTATTGGCTTTGGAGCGGCAGGCAGCTGGACCTGCTTTTGGGTGACCACCTATGCTTATGAGAATTGCCTAAATTAATATGTATAACGGTTTTGGAACCATGCTCAGCAAAGAGTAAGTTCACTGTTGTTAAAATGTATCTGTAAGAGCCCATGCTCAAAAGAGCAGCAGCATTTCAGCAGGCAAGAAGCTATTCCCTGAGCTGCAAGGGTCCCCAGAGATAGGAATTCAGGGACTCGGGGACACTGGGTGCCCACCCACCCAGCGGGCTGCACCCTGCTTACCTCCTCTCTGACTTTCCGCTCTGCTTCCTCCTGCTTCCTCCTCTGTTCCTCCTCCTCCAGGACTTTGCGTCGCTCCTCCCTCTTCTTCTTCAGCTCCTCCAGCTCCAGCGCTGCCTCCTGCTGCTTCTGTTTGAGCTTCTCGAACTCCTCGCTCTCCGTCTCCCCGCGGCGGCGGCGCAGCTCCTCCAGGCGTTTGCCAGCTTCCACTTGGGAAGCCCCTTCCGCCTCCTTGGCCTCGCTGGCCCTCCCTCCGGGTCGGCTGGGGGCGGGGGTGGGGGTGGGGGTGAAGAGGGGCAGGGAGAGATGCAGAAGAGTTAGACGCACAGCTGCCTTGCAGCCCCCCCTGGAGGGAGGGTAGGTGGGCCCGCAGGCTTCGGGTACCATGCAGAAACTTGACTGCCCGTCATTGGACAGCAGGTCCTCACACCAGCCCCAGAGGCAGGCTGGGTGCACCCGGAGGCTCCAGGTCTGAACCCGAGTCCCTGCTCGGCCGCTTACCCAGGGTGTCCCTGGGAACACCGTGGGGGTGAATACATACTGGTGGTAGGATTGGTGCAGCCGCTGTGAGAAACAGTAGGGAGATTCCTCCAAAAATTAAAAGCAGAACTCCCATATGATACAGCAATTCCACTTCTGGGCATTTATCTGAATAAAAAAAATTTTCTGAAGAAAGGAGAAAATGCTGACTGCGATGCAGCATTCTTTACAAGAGCCGAGACAAGGGCAACCCAAGTGTCCGTTGACAGATGCATGAATAAAGAAAAGGTGGTACCTATTTACAGTGGAATATTATTTTGCCATAAAAAGGAAGAAGCCTTATTTAAATGCTAATTAGCAAGTAATGAGGGCATTCTTAACTAGATCTGAATGTAGGTAGCCCACGTCTAACACTTTTTTTTCAAGCAATGGATGAATCACTGTGTAGCACTGTTTACTCCATATGGAGAACAACAGTGTTTCTAGCTGCGGGGCCAGAGGAAGAACAGAACAGAAGATGAGTTCAAGATGACACAGTTACCCATACTGATCACATGTGTACGGCTCATGCTTTTTAAGAACATGGAGGTGGTTCTGAATATACTGTGTCCTTTAGAACAATGCTTTCCAAACTGCCTGTCAGAAAACCAATTCAGTGGACTGTGATCAGCGTTAAAAAAAAAGAGAAAAAAAGAACTAGGAAACATCAGAGTGCTTTGCACTGGGCAAGGGAAATGACTGCGTCCTGACTTGCCAGTTTCCGTTACGTGTGGAGACCTCGCTGGGCCATGGTGTAAAATTTCTTTCTCACCAAGAGTTGAGGTTTTCAAGTTTAAAAATCTTATGCTAGGTTCGTGATGGTGAAAGAGGAACTAACTGTTTTGATTTTGAACTCAGTCAGGGTTTGACGGTCCCTTAACACTTGATGCTGCTCTTGCGGGGTCTTACAGGTTTGCAGACTTGCGCCCCCAGAGAGGAAATCTGCCCTCTCAGTTCATTCACGGCCTTTCCATCTTCGGAGACATTTGCTCTCTCCGTGCTCGTTGTGTCCGGGTGCAGGCGGATGGGCAACCCACGCCTGCAGGAACGCCCCCAGATTCCACTAGATGTCGCTCAGTCTTCATGGTGGACATTCAAAAGGCCACTGTTAGGGGCTGGTTAACTGAATCACCATACTTTCACCCTGTGGGACACTCTAACTTCGTGAACTGTAGGCTTATATTCATTGGTTTAGAAGGCTAGCTAAGGTACCTTGGTATGCATAATGCAAGAATCCATTTAAAATGTAGATTTATAATTATACTCACACATATACACGTTATATGTCTATATGCATGTCTATTTTGAATGTAAACATCTGGGAAATATCTAGGGAAAATGTTACTAGTGGTTTTCTTTGGGTAGTGGGTACTTATTTTTGTACTTTTATTTTCTGAATGTTTTATAAAGGAGTACAATTTTCCTATTACCAGAAAAAAAACATAATTCCCACACACAAAAATAAACAGAAAGCAAAACAAATCCTTGCTTTGTACTTTCTGGAAAATCCAATCCACCTCTATAAAAATGCTCCTTGAAGTGAGATTTTTAGATGATCTCTTAGAGAAAACGATCTAGTTATAAGAAAATAGAACTATTAAAGGGGACAGTAATTAAATCAAACTAAAGGAATTATGCTCAAAACAGGAATGAGAGTTTTGTCCACGTGGCCTCTGCTCAGATGTGCTGGCATGCCCTCAGCATCAGGGTGCCGCTCATACTATGAACATTCCTTCTAGAAGGCTCTCCCTGCTCCCCTTGGCTTCCTTAGGTGTGAAGGCAAGAGGTTCATCAGACCTCTCGCCATCAAGGATGTGGCTTGTTCCCAGTCAGGCTAGAAGGTCCCCGGCTAATCTAAATAGAGCCTCTTCCTGCCCAGGTCCTCACTGTGCAGAGCAAAACCAGGCATCTCTACTACCATTGTCATCTCTGCTTCTAATTGAAACTAAAACTAACATATGTTGGCAGCTGAACCAAAACTTTATGGCGACAGCTTGTTTCTGTCATTTTTTTCCCCTGCCTAAACATGGAAAAATTAAAGTGAGAGTCACATTTCAGAGTTCTCCCTGCTCAACCTGCTGGCATCCCTTCTGACTTCTCTCCTGGAATCACCCAGTTCTCTGGATTTCCACACAACAGGCGTGTTAATTATTAATTTGAGCTGTGGCTGAAGCTGGTTGGTAAGTCTGCTAATTGTTAACTGAACTTTCTACCGATGGGTTTTTTCCAAAGCATTATCTATTTCTCTTAACAAAAAGTGTATTCATACCCACAAAACATATTTTAAACCATCGAACAACAACACACTAATACTGTTAGGTAATACGCATCGAAGACTTTTCCACGCTGTTTTAGGGCTTTAAAACATTAACCTACAGACACACCTCAGCAACCTTTGGGCTCTGCCGACCTGCCCGAATCAACCTGCTTTCCGGATTTGCTATGAATTCCTGATAAACTCGTAATTTCTCACATCTGCTTTCTGCTAATTTGGGCTTTCAGTGGGATACCCATGACTACGTTTCTGCTCAAGTTTTTGTCTAGAAAGACAGTTTGGGGCCCATTACGTTGACCCACTTTAGCCTCTTAGACAAGGGGCTGCACATGCCCACCCCTAGAAGCTCTGCTCGCTTCTGGGTGTCACACAGGCTTTGCCGTGAGGACGATGCCGGGCTTCTACACAATACCGCTTGGGGACGTTCTTCTGTCAAGTGTTCAGACACGCAGGGTCTGTGGGCAAGGGTGCATGGAAATCCACGTCATGGGGACCCAGACTCTCTTCTGTAACATCTGACACAGCGACCAGTGACATGATCGAGGTTGACATTCGGCACCCGCAGCTGGAGGGAGTGTGTGAGTAGGAAGGCGGCCCAGAGAACCCTATAGCCTGGTGGCCATGGCAGGCGTCTCCGACTTCTCTTACTAAATCGGTGGGGAGCTCAACGTATTCAATGGATCTAGAAGTGAGAACTGACCCGCATATACTCGCCTATCTGTCCTAAAATCAATTGCCCAGATTTTCAACATACTGGGGTGAGGGGTGGGGGGAGCTGAAGTTATGCAAGAGGGTTTTCCAAAGGGCAATAAATGACCTATTTATCAGTCAGACGCCTTCTTCCTCCCTCTTAGAGACTCCCAGTGCAAATTAACTCCAAGTGCTTTCAAAGTCCTGTGGCAGAGAGCTGATTAATTTTGTTTAATCTTACGTTTCCCAAGTATTTGGCCACAGAGCAATCCTAGTCTTACACAACATATATTTGCAACCTTTGGGAAATACATTCTTGAACATGGTGCTGAGAAGGGTCTCCTCTGAAGCTGCCTGGCCCGTATAGAGAATGAATTAATATTAATCCCAGTTACAATGTTTTCTAATAAACTGATCATAACATGAGCGTATTAGGTCAAGGACAAAAACCCGGATGCCCGGCATAACCGACCTCACTGAATTATGGGAAAAGCAGGTTAAACCTTCGTCTGCGTGGTGACTGCTGGTCTTCTGTTAGTGACTGACAGCCAGACCTGACTCAGTGTCTCTAAGATGATGGTCTCACAACAGAACTATGTTGCCTGTTTAGCAGGTTTCTATACACAGCTGATTTTTTCTCCCCCGCATGTGAACACAGTCACTGTTTGTTAATTAGTCGCTACGTCTTACCTGAAAGTATTCTCAGTGTGTTTCAGCTTGTGGGTCATGAACTCTCCATTCTGCGACTTCACTTCTGTAAATCCCTTCTTCCCATCTAAGAAGCTCTTAACATCTTCTCTGGGCTCTCTGTCTTTTTTAATCTTCTCATCTTTGACCTAACCAACAGTACACACCAGGAAGAAACAGAACGATGAGAATCTTACTAGGTTTGGGTTGGTATCACCAAAGAAGACCCCAAATTGACAGGAAGCCCCTAGACTCAAAAGTGAAACAAAGCCCCATAGGACGACGTGGTAGAGATGGGGTCAGGGGGAACTCTTAGCGCATGAGTGATGGTTTCCCAGCCTCTGAGGCGAGACCTTGACCACACTTTCAGGAAGTCAAGATCATTCCTGATCTCACTGGGGGTTTTATTTTCAAAGGCTTTGGTGGTATTACCATTGGAAACTATTAGGTCCTGGGAACCCCACATGAGTGGTTGTCTGCGGGTCCCCCTGGGACAAGCGATTATTAGGGTGGCCTTGCTGGAAAAATGCCCAGGTTGCTTAGACAGGTTCCTTCTTTGGGTGAAGGGCCCTGATGTGTCGAGGAGGAAAGAAGAGCAAACCTGTCAGATTAGCCAGACCTGCTGCACTGACTTTGACTGCTGCCAGAGGAGGATGACCCTAGTCTCCTAACCAAATAAGTAACTGGGCTCCCCAGGACAGGAGACATAATGACCCTACCTGTAGGGGGATGGCTCACAGCTGTGGGACTGTGTTTGTAAGTCATCTATGCCACCAAGTTAGAATGGAATAGGAAAAATTCTGGGATTTACCTTGACTTCCAGGGGGCAGGTAATAACTTATCTCCAGAGTGGTTTTGTGATTTTTGTGGGTGAGAGGAGGTTATACATGAAGAGCAGGTATTGGCTGTAATATTTTGTGGGTGTCATGTCACAAGTTCCTTGTGGTAAATAAGAGATTATTTCAAAGTAAGCTGAATTTACATAGCTTTTTTTTTTAGGGGTGAAGGAGTACAAATGACCTATATCATCTCCCCTAATTTTAAAAGATGAGTGTAAAAACAGGGGCGATTCATTATTGCTCTCTTCAAGACAAATGGAGAAAGCACTAATGTTCTTAAGAACCCCACAGAGGAAGGGGGGTGCGGGTCAGAGCTCTGGGCTTTAAGAGGCGCTGCCCAGACTGTCTCCCCTTCTCGGATCACTCACCTCTCTCCAGCTAGTCTTCCAATACCCTCGGAACATCAACTATCCAAGTGCATGTTCTACTAAGGCGAGTGCACTTTTTTGCTCTACTGCTGAGCCTTCAGTCGTCTTTCCCCTGATGGCCTTCTTTGGGTAGTATTTGATTAAGTTACTGCTGATGGACTATGCTGTAGGAATTTAACGGGCAACTATCCTGTGATCCCAATTAGTTAAAACTTCAGTCCTTGGCTCTGGCTGACGTAGCTCAGTGGATTGAACATGGGCTGCGAACCAAAGTGTTGCAAGTTCGATTCCCAGTCAGGGTACATGCCTGGGTTGCAGGCCATGGCCCCCAGCAACCACACATTGATGTTTCTTTCTCTCTTACTCCCTCCCTTCCCTCTCTAAAAAATAAATAAATAAAATCTTTAAAATAAACAACTTCAATCCTTCTCCAAAGGGTACACACCTGGAGAAAGGGGATCTCTTGGGCAGGCTGAAGGAGGGAGCTATTGTTTTGCCATTCTCTCTGAGAGCTTCAGCTGCAAGTTGGGAAACCTGGGTTTTGGGTCCAGTGCTGTTGACAAATTGGCTGTTACCTTGATGAAGTCACCGGACTTCTCTGGGGTGTTGGCTCTGAGTACAGAAACCATGGAGGTCAGGCTCTCAGGAGTGTCCAACCTTTTGGTGTCTCTGGGCCACACGTTAAATGCATTGTAGCAAATAGTCATAAAAAAAATCTCATAATGTTTTAAGTAAATTAACAATTTTGTGTTGGGCCGCATTCACAGCCATCCTGGGCTGCAGGCCGCCTGTGGGTTGCAGGCTGGACAGCCCTGGAGATGACCCCTTCCTAATCCTTCATCCTTTCCCTTCCCTCGTGTCTTCTGACTTGTCACAAGGGGTTACAGAGGAGGAAGCTCCTGGCCTGTCCTACAACTTGACTGCAGCTCCTTGGTGGCTGTCCTCGCCCAATCATAGATCAGTATTCACTGGGTGGGCGGGGTCTGTCCTTGCCTTAGCCTACCATCAGTGGACACGGCCCCAGAAGCCATGGACTGCATTATACGTCTTGGTTAAGAAGTTTCTGGGGACACAAACTTGGGAGGTGAGGAGGGTCCCATTTCAGAAAACCCATGAAAGTAATTTGAACTCCATTCTCACAGTTGGTGGAATAGTATACAAAGATGCAATATCCTCTACCTCACATCTCCTGTTTTGGAGTCAGAGATATTTCTGCTCTTCCCAAATGTATTATCTGATTTACTGCCCCAAAATGTATGTAAAATAGATTTGTAAAACAATGCATATTTAACAGAAGGAAAAAAATCCTTTCCCTCAAGCTCTGCCTTTATTGGCAAAGGCTGTAGTGGATGGTATGCTTGTATTCTCTCTGCAAGACTTCCTTAGAAAAATTCCCAGTGAAATCATGACAGTTTGAGTTTGCAAATTATTTTATCTTTTTGGGAAATGAATAAAGAAAGTAATTCCATAACAGCTTTATGTTTTATTTTAAGGAGCACAGTGGACCGGATTCTAGAGAAGATTTAACACAAGCTCATGGGATTCAGAGTCTCTTGGGAAAAGCATTGGATCTCCTAGGTCGGAGTGTTACCATAGAGAAAACCTGCGCTGATGGGTTATTAATGGGTAGCCGAGTATCCCGAAAGAATATGCAAGGCTCTGGCCAAATGTGATCATTTGGAGAAAACTGGGTATTTGAGATATGCATTGGGATGACAAAGGTGTGGGGGGGGGGAATTCAGCAACGTGACCCTGTGCCAGAAAGACATTCAGAAGGTCAAGGGAGCAGGCCAGAAAGGACTGCAATGTCAGTCTTTGTAGTTTGTATGGCATCATTTGATTCCAGAATAAGTGACAAGAACCGGTACAAGTTACCGTTCTTAGACTCAGAAGCCTCAGTTCCTTCTCTGGGTCTGATATGTGCCACGTGAATAATGTCCTTGCTACCAAAAGTTTGGTCTGGGGACAACATGGACCTCACCAGAAACCGCAGACTCCAGCCCAGAGCCACTGAGTCAGTGTCTGCGTTTCCTAAGATTCCCCGGTGATTCACATGCACAGAAACGCTGGAGAGATTTGGACTAGATGCATGAAGGTCAATTTCAATATTACATGAGCAACTTTCCTGGAAGTTGTTTTTCTGTGAGAGGCGGGGGGAGGGGGAGAGCTTTAGGGTGAAGAACGAGAAAGAGGTATTTCATAGTTGGAGAGGAGAAAAAAACAGCTACGTTAAGCTTCAAGGTTGCGGATCATGTGCGATCCATTGCCACGAAAGAGTTAAGCTGCAGCAGGGGGAGAAAGAAGGTGTTTTGTAAAGTACTGGAGTGACTTCTGGAAATGTTTTCTCTCAGAAGGCTTACGTGCTATTTGTGTTTACTTGTGGTTGACCGATCGTGCATTGCTCCTTGAAAGAAAAGGCTTTTCAATTTTTTTTTAACTAAAAGGAAATTAAAAAAGGAGGAGGGTATTTACAATGACTACAACATGTAAAATATGGTTTCGAGTTGTCTCTATAAAGCAACCACACAACTAACTAGCTGGAGAGGGAAAAATTTAGTCCTTCAACTAGTAATTTAGGTACGCGCCGTTAAAGCAGGAATGGCAGGGTATTTTTTTCCAGCCTGTGCAGAGGATTTAATCTGGCCTTGTACAAAAAAAGAGGCCACAAGCTTTGGGACACTGGAATGTGCTGCAGGGCAGACTGGGAAAGAGGCAGCTCTGAAGTCATTCTATCCGGGGACAATGGTGACTGGGGGCCTTATCTGAAAAGAGGCAAAGAGATGATCTGGATGGCTGCTGGCGAGCTCTTTCCAGCTCAGGGACACGGTGCACAGACAGATGCTCCGGTCATTGAAAACCAATCACATCTCGGGGAAGTGGATTGAAAGGATAGAATCCAAACAGCACTTTTTCAGCTTCCCGGCCCCAACGTGAACTTAATCACTGAGCTGTGATTTCATGCCCTGTTCTCTCTGTGAGGATATCCACCACGCAACACTAGTTCTAGGGAAGAACCCACGTGGGATGTTTCTGTTCGAGTTTAGTTCCGAGGGAACTTTCATTTTTTTTGGTAGATGAATTCGTAGTGTTCTTCTGTTGCAAAATGAAGAACAGCGTTTTCCCACATGTTGGACCATTTCCTTAGCTGCCTCATTTAAGCCAAACTCAGTTTTCCAGTGATTAGCATTTACGCGTTCTCCTTCCTTTAAATGGGCAGAGTTCACATGCAGTTCTCACTCTCAAAGCACCACCAGTTCTATTAGAGACCAGGAGGGACATAGATGCAAAATAAAACAAGTGTAATGTGAACTAGGGGTTTTCACTTTGTACGTGAATCTTATTTAAGAACATAAGAAAAATAACCACCCCCTCTATTTAATCTGGCTATTTTCTAAGTACGGATTTTTTTCCCCTGTTTCTTAATCTATGCCACCATGGGTAGAGAAATGTAGCCATAGCTATAGGTCAGGCCACGGGCAAAATAACGCAACTCCTCCCTTACAGAGACTTGAGTTTTACCCTGTTCAAGTACTTGGAATTTACTGAATATTGTCACAATTTTTAGGATTACTCAGGGCTCACATAAGCACAATGGTTGCAACAAAGTCAGGCTTCCTGCTGTGCCATTTCGGGGACGTCAGATCACGGCACCCTGCCTGCTGCGGCCTCTGGTCCCCTTATCGGCCACTTACCTACAGTCACGCACTCTGGCACCTGCTCCCGTGTGTGCCTCAGAAATGCAATGCAAAACATTGGGCCAGAGTTTTCTTTTGAAAACCAAATATCATCTTCCGTTCACCAAATTTTCTACCGGGACGTGTGGGGGTGGTTTCCCTTGGAGAAGTGACATCATGAATCAAAGCCAATTGGAAACGACACGAAAGGAGGACGGCTCAAGGCAAAAAAGAAATAGCACTTAAAGGAAAAGAAAGTGGGGAAGATGGATCAGAGGAGTGTTTTTCAAGCTTTTGGACCACGACCCACAGTAAGGAAGGTAACTGATGTCACGATGCGGTGCTTACATTTTCTGATATTTTCTATTCCATTGCACTTCCTAAAATGCCGATGGACACGGTTTAACTAGTTCTGAGATGTTCTACGTCAATTTCACCATTCGCTACATCGTGAGTCATGGCTTGAAAAACACTGGCTGAGAGGTTACAATTGTAGGGGAACACAGCTCTCTGTTGCTTTATGAATAATTAGGCTACTTCCCAGTAATATTTACCTCTTCCTTTTTGAATGTAGGCTTGTCTTCTTGGGACTTTTCTCTTTGGGGTTGCACTTTAGCCCCCTTTTCTTCTTCCTTTTTATGTGCAAGAGTGGTCAGGTCACTCATGTCAAAGAAGCCCTTTCTAGCTCTTACCAGCGTGAGAAGGTGCTCGGGTCACTGGGCATGTGGCTCAGGCTGCCCTCTCTTGCTGTGTCATGCTCCTCCACCCCCCTGGGCCAGCGCTTGTAAACAGCAGCCTCGGGTGCTTTCTTTCCACCCAAAATTTGCTCCCGTGTGCCTGCCCGTGTGCTCACTGATACCTAGAATGACGTGCTCCTTGTGCGTGTTTACAGACCTCGTGTGTGCTTCAGTGCATTTTGTCTCTGGTCGTCTCAACCATAGCTGTGTTCACGAGCCCCTTAGAACTAGCAGGAGTGAAAGACAGCTTCAGCGCAGTGCAGACATAGTGACAGAGAGTTCTTTCCGGAAGGTGAACATGCAAGCAGATGGTGGTTAAACACGGTGCTTCTAATGCAGCCTTGCAGACAGAAAAAAATCACTGGTAGTTTACACCGCCCCCCCCACTTCCGCCCTTCCTCAGATTATATCAATTTGCATGTATCATTCAGATAGTAAAACAAACAAAATGTGTGCTTTTAATTGTTGGTCAATTATAAGCTGATGTCGCCCCAGAGGACTGGCTTTCTGCAAGTTTACATTAAGCTCAGGTCTACATGGTGCCAATCATGGATTTGACATTTTTTTTTTTCTAAAGACGGCCCAAACTGGCTACTTTCCCTCCTTGGTTATCAGCTGATCTCAAAGGTTTGATATTTGCCTTCTGATGATGCTATTTGGGACCATGATTCGTTTTTGTCAGTTTTCCACCCCCAACATTTATAATTTTTTTTTTAGTTAAATGCCAAAACCATGGGTAAGGGGAAGAGTTAAGATGCTCTTGCCTCATGTAGACCCGTGGATAGAGGTAAAGGTGTGAAAAGGAACAAGTGTAGATGCAGGTGCAGAATCACAGGTCAACACAGCACCACCACGAGGACCATCTTCGCGTTCAAAACAAGCAAGCCCAGGGCAACACATTTTCTCTGATTGTCTCAGGAAATTTGGTTGATTGGCTATTTAGCCATCAATCGATTGTGTCATGCTCGCAGATTGCTATGGCCTTAAAAAAAAAAAAAAAAAAACGAGCGGCCTGCCAAATATGACCAAGCGTGCGGGCTCAGGAACGTGGCCTCGGCCCCAAATCGGATGTGCATTGCATTTCTCACACGTCACAGGCGTCACACAGCGGGTGCACCACGTCCACTGTACCTGTTTCTTCTGCACAGCTGTCTGGCGCTTATCTTCTTCTCCTTTCTTTTCATTGACCCGTTTCCCTTCTACGGTCTCTTCTCCCTTCTCCCCTTTCATCCTTTTCTCTGGCGCGTCACTGTTTTTCTCTTCTAGCTGCTTTTTACGATTTTGCTCTTCTAGCTGAGCCTTCTTTTCTTCCTCTGCCTTTGCCCTCTGCCTCTCCTCGGCCGCTCTGCGCTCCTCCTCCCGAACCCTTTCCCTCTCCTCTGCCTCCCTCCTTTCCCTCTCTAGGGCGGCTGCTTTTTCCTCTGCCTCAAGTCTTGCTTTTTCCTCCGCCTCAAGTCTTGCTTTTTCCTCTGCTACCTTTTGGTCTTGCTCAGCTTTAATTCTTTCTCTTTCTTCTGCTTCCAACCTGAGCTTCTCTGCCTGGGCCTCCCTTTCCTCCTCCTCCCGCTTTTCATGCTGGGAAATCTCGTCTGAACCTCGTTCCCTCTCACCCTCTGCTTTAGACTCATCTGCACCGATCTGCCCATTTTTCAAAGACATTCCCCCTGTTTCTTCTTGGGTTTCTACCGTTTTCTCTTCTCCCATCATCACCTCTACCTGGTTTTCTTTGATGCTCCCTTGCTTTGGTTTCTCTTCCTCCTCTTTGTCCTCTTTGTTCTTCTCTTCAATATCCCGCCAGTCATTCTTCTGGTAGGACTTGGTGACTATTTCCGTGGTTTCCTCTATCTCATATCTTTCTCGGCGGCTTTCACTTTTTTCCTCCTTGTCATCGGTGTCGTTTTCCGCTGTGTCGTTGCGCATTCTTCTGCTCGGTAGACTCCCGTCTGTGACTGTCGGGTCGAACTCCTTCTGACGCTCCAGCGCCTCCTGGAGGCGCTTCTGGCGTCTTTCCTCCCGCCGAGCCAGGCGCTCCAGTAAGGCGGCCTCATCGTCGCCCTCCACCTGCGTGTTCGTGGTGGTGGTCTTGACCTCCTCGTCGGGCACACTGTGCAGCAGAAAAGACAACAGGGGAGACAGCGTGCTGCTGGTTAGTCAGTTGGACTCACGTGGCCTGACCCACCCTGGAACTCCACCAGACGCCGGCAGAACCATGCGCACACGGGCACCCCCTGCAGGCATTACCGTGTTCATATATGCCCGCCTGGCTCTCAGCTGACAGCTTGGGCAGGTCTGTGCCCTTGGTCCCTCTCTGGACACTGAAGTCTACCCTCCATGCTAAAAGTGCTAGGAATATCAGCCCCCTCTCTGAGCAGCCCTCAGACAAAAACTGATGTGCGCAGGTGCATAAATACCTCCGCTCCCCACCCTTTCTGAGTTGGATAACTCTGAGGTGCCTGCGCCGCACTGGATCTCGGAGTTCCCCAGGGAGTTAAGCTCCCAGTCCCCACAGCGGCCACTTGCTTGGTAAGGACACCTTTATTTGGCTGCCTTCCCCTCCCTGTCTCACTTCCCTCCACCACCACCAGTGTTTTCTGGGCTCCTTTTACAAATACACAACTCGTGGTCAAATCTTTGTTTTAGGATCTGCGTCTCGGTGAACTCAAACAAAGACAAGGATCAAACTGAAATAACAAGTGAATTCCCCTAGTATCGCACAGTATTTTCACATGTCGCCAAGTCACCTAGACTCCGTGAACTGGATTTGCGGAGCAGGAAGCACTCTGAGAGGAAGAGAGTGTATGTCAGAGCGCGGAAATGCTACATTCACACTGATGATCCCCAAGGGAGAGACATGGGACTGTCCACCATGACCCATGCTCTTCCTTCCAGAGTCACAGGAAGTGACCGTCAGTCAAGGAGTTTGTTTTCTACCCTCCCCTCTGCCCTATACCTTGGTAGAGCATGTGACCAATAATTTCCAACTGAATGTGAGCAGAAGTGATGTGTCCAGACCAAGGCCAGTAGGAAGCAAAGACGCGTGCTCTGTCCTCTCTACTGGCTAGGTCAGAGGACTCCAAAGCCCTGGGAATTGATAAGAGTCACAAAAAGAAAGAAAGTAGGTGACCAGTTCTACCTACTAGTCAGAAGTAACCACAATGGACTGGTAGGTTTTGCTGAATTAAAAACTACTAAAATTTGGGGGCTCATTGTTACAGCAGCCATCATTATCCTGACTAATATACATGCCATCTACATTCTTTGGGAAGAGTTCCATGAATAAAGGGTCTGTTGCCCTTCTTTCTCCAGTAAACAAAGGACAGTTAAGTTTGATGTTTATTTAAAATGAAAAGAAAATCCCTGAAAAGCACACTCTACCACGTCCATCATGTCCCTCACTGTTGTAGGTCACTGGACATGGCCTGAGCCAGGGGTGCTGGTCTCGGCCGGCAGAAAACAACCAGTCGTGAGATGCCAGGAGCTGTGGCCACAGCTGGGAGGAGATGCCTTGCAATGTTTAGAAACTCCATCAAATTTCATGGTTCATACCGAACTTGGCCCTTTTGAAGTCCAAGTTCGCTTAATTTTGGAAAAACACATTTCACATTTAACAAGAAATGATAGAGTAAAGGCTAGATTTTTAAGGCTTGGCCTTAGCTGTTGCTACAGGGCACTGTCTCCATGAATTAGACATATCAGGATTAAATTTCCCTGAAAATACAAGTAGTTTAGAATTCAAGGGGAAAAGTCTATATACGTAGGCACTGGGATCAACTTGAATTCAAATAATTTTTTAAAAGGTACCCCAAATTCTAAACAGCTAGCCAGATGAAAGCGCTCTTGGGTTAAGAAACGAGTGGATGCTCCTGACCCTTTCTCTTTGCCTGTTTTGAAATCCTGCCAGTGATCATCAGCAGAAGTATCAGTTAGGGTTGTCTGTATTTCAGAGGTGAGTCCTACGTTCTCAGATCTTAACATGCTTTACTGAAAAACAGACAAAGAATTTTGTGTTCAATCAACAGCATAAAGTAACTGTTATTAATGAGATGTGAAAAGATAAGAGAAACTCAAAGAGTAGCAAGACTTGAAAAGCAAGAAAATCTACAGACCAGGAGTAACTTTTGGGGTCACTGTTGACCATTCACAAATAACCAGATTCAGGCAAGGCCTCAAGCTGCTATTCTGAAGCTCGCCCCCCAGCCCCCTCCCTTCCTCAGCTCAGAAGTAGCACAGGCAGAGACCGACCGTGCAGCCATCCTCTGTAGGACTGGGGGGCTCTCTTTCCAACAGTAGCTAACATCGGGTGCCTACCACGAGCAGGCAAAGCCCTGTGCATTTTGCATGTTTTATTATTGCATTTAAACTTAACAATGTTCCTAAGAGGAAGGTATAATTTTCATTTCCATCTAACTGAAGAAATGCAGTTAATGAAAGGCCAAGTTCAGATTCAAAGCCAAGCAGTGAACCCCAGAGAATATACCTACACCCGCTTTCTTATGTCACTCTGTCATTAGGGGCTACTTACCAAGGGGCTATTTCTCCACCTAACCAGTAAGTTTCCTTATTGAATTCACCCTGCCTGCCAGCATCTTCAAGACTGCCTTCAGAGACCTTCTGTGTACGCACTCCAATTTGGGCTAAAGAGGCCAGAATTCTTTCCGTTCAGAATTTTCTAGACAGACTGAATTAAAGAAACCATCAACAGTGCCCTCTCAACACACATAAAATAAAACCACAACCACATACAAGATCTTATATGGCAGTGTCATTATATTTAATCAGTCCATAGTTATACATTAATATTAACTTTTCCCCCCTCCAAATAGCCTCATCTTTTCTACACCTCGGGGCATATAAATGACATACACTAACCATTAGCAAAATGGACTGTGTGACCTTGTGTGCGTGAACTTGTACAAGCCCTGTTTGAAGAAGTTGGATGTCTTAAGTACTCTCGACTTTCCTGGTTTCTACCAGGCACTCGGAGGAAAGATGTAGAAGTAAATTCATAAGCTTGTTTATACAATTACATTAAACTAAACAGGGCTCTGCCCCTTGCTGACTGTTGCAGTGATCACAGGATATCCATTCAGGCTGCATATCATGAAAAGTCAGACATTTGCAATGCATGCCTGCTGTTAAAACCAGATAGACCGAAACCAGCTGAGTCGGGCAGAGAAGGGAACGCTCTGCCCACCACATCCCACTCAACAGACAGGCTGAGTGAGAAGCAGCTGAGCAATTCTCCACCCCGAAGAGGACAGTACCTGTTCTGGGCGTTAGCCTCCACCTGGTCGGTCACCTGCCCCAGTGATTCTTCTTCTTGCTTCTGCCGCAGCCTCTCCTGCCGGGCTCGCCGGCGCCGTTCCCGGGCGGCCTCCTCCTCGTCATCGTCATTCCTCTGGTAGGCGATTCTGCAACGTCACAAAAACCACCTCTTGAGCATGCCCACGGCCAACCACGTTCACCAGCTTCCTGGCAGGATCCGCCCTCAGTCCTCTTCTGAACTGGACTCCTTGCTAAACCCGAGTTCTAAAAGGATGGTTCCTTTCTTCACGTTTAGAGACCCAATCTGTCTGGTTTTCAAACTGTTATATATCTGAAAAGCACTAATCCAGTATCTACAGAAGATAATTTGCAATGATCCAATAAACAGCTTACATTTAAAAATGTATACAAAAAAGCAGGTTGCCTTCAGAGACTGTGTTGGCCTATTCAGATTTCTTGACTAAGCTGATGACTAGCATGTAAGATTTAGAAGCAGAAATCCAGGCCCTAGCTGATGTGGCTCAGGGGATTGCGCACAGGCCTGCAAACCAGAAGACTGCTGGTTCGATTCCCAGTTAGGGCACATGCCTGGGTTGCAGGCCAGGTCCCCAGTGTGGGGGCGGGGAGGGGTTGCGAGAGGCAACCACACATTGATGTTTCTCTCCCTCTTTTCTTCCTTTCACTTCTCTCTAAAAATAAATAAAGTCTTAAAAAAAAGAACCAGAAATCCAAAGCACTGAATTAAAGATAATAAAAATAGTTATTTAAAAGATTCAGCACATGTACTCATTATTTGTGTAGACATTGTCACAAGGTCAGAAAAGAATCAAGTTACGTTAACAAACCAGGACTTTGGCATTAAAAAGCCCAAATAGCTAATTAAAACTGAGAACAGGTATCCTCTGTGCTTGGATTTTATTTTTTCCTCTTAGATTACTTTCGCTGGAGAGAGAAGGTGGCAACTGATAGGAGGCTTCCAAGTCAGTGCCGCTCCTTCTAAGACTCCTCTAAGTTCCTCAGCCACAGGTGGGGCTCACCACCACAGCCCCACGGGTATGTTTCAGTAGAAACTTAAGGGTGAGGGCAGGTAGAAGGGGCACAGAGGGCTTTGCATGCACTTTATTTAGCTTTCATTTCAGCCGAAGCAAATGCCTACTTAGGGAAATTACACAATCAACATCACCACATTAAATACGTTTCCCTTGGTACTTATTCTCCAATAAAGAACCGGAACTGGGAACTCCAGATGCCTAGACTCAAGAAGAAATGACCTGCGTGGGTAACGCGGATACTCCGGCAGGAGCAATGTGCATGCCAAGACGCAGTGCTGAGAAGGCACAGCTGTGCTGGCCTGGCCCAGGGACGAGCTGCCCTGATGGGTCCATGGGCGGGGACAGAGCCGTGCTGTGCAGGAGGCTGCCTTTCACATTAGACGGTTAGAGTGCTTTCATTCCAGTATTACTTACACGTCTACAAATGGATATCCAGACATGTAGGTTTCATGCTTACAATTGTTACATAACGACACAGCTAAAATAACTTGCAAATGAAAGAACACAAAACCGTGGAGCCATTCCTACCAACCGTAGGAACCTACTGTGATTGACAGCGGTTCGTTGCTGTCAGATTCACAAAGCAGGTGTGGTAAGGCTTAGATTCAGGGCTTTTCCTCACCTGCTCCTCTTTTGACTTCCGTAACACGAATGCTATGAATGTCTTTCACCTTGGTATCTCATGAAAAACAAGACGGACAATTCCTACGGTCGGCTGGTTTGTTCTTTGCTAATTCACATAAATATAACTTCATACTTACTGAAAACAATACTCAAATTCCAAAATAAATAAAATGTCACTGAGTGGTTTATTTCCACAGATGTGGCGAGAAGGACTGGTGTGATGTAGTTGAAGGATCACTAGGTTAGCACTCAGAAAAGCTGGCTCCTAGACCTGGCCTCTTCCTCGCTGGCAGCCCTTGACGCCCTGGACTTAAATGTCCTTGGTCTGTAAGGGTGTGACGGTCGAATGGAATCACAGATGTCATGGTAAAGCATTCTACAGTGTAATCTTTTTTGGTTCTTGGGAAAAGTGCAGTCGAGGAGCTGCTTTGTGAGGAAAGAGGAGTTCAATTTTAGACTTGTTGAACTCGAGGTGACAGCATGACATGATGTGAATGTTCCCTTCTAATTTAATCACATTGTAATTTGCAGTCAAAAGACCTTCCCAGTGGTTTGGCTTCAGTCTTCAGATTCTTGGCCTAATATTCCTTTGGCTTATTTCTCAGCAGACAGCTTTAACCACAGCAGGGTCCTTAATGACTGCTTCCCAAGCTAATCAAACACAAAGTCTTAATACGTTCTTCTCCATCTCTGGATCGGCCACGAGGCCTTGGCTATGACTGGCGCCTTCTTTGTCCAAGACAAGCAAAAGGCATAAAGGCTCACACAGGACATCCGATGCTACAAACAGAACCCCCCCCACCCCCGCCTTCTGAAATGGAATTCCATGTTTAGCCCTTCATTTCCCACTGTGTTTGAACATTTTGAGCAGTTACTGTCTTCCTCCCACTCACCAGTTCGCTCGGTTGTCGGCTTTTGGCTCTGACACAAACTTGACTTGCCGTGGAGGCCAAATCACACTCAGCCTTTCTTCGCCTCGCTCGCATTTCTCATCGGCGGGGTGGCCCGGACAACCAGATCAACCCCCCCCCCTCCCGCACCAGTCTCCTGTAACTCTCGTCACTTGGTGGAGCTTGGCGTTCCCCATCAGCCCCTCTCCCTCGGTACGCAGTTCCCAGAACTGGATGTTTAAGGATCTTTTAACACCACTAATGAACACACATATTCAAATTGTTTTCAGAGTTAAGAACAGCAACAACAACAAAATAAATAGCCAGAACAGCTTCACGGCATTTCGAATCATAACACGCCCAGTTGCTGGCTCAGTAACCTACCAGTTGGCTTTGTAAGCGAAGTCGTGGCCCTACTAAAGGACCCAGTATGTGTGGCCACACTGACCCTCGTCACGCAGAGCCAGGCGGCTTCTTGCTCTGAGGCCTGCCCCACAGCAGTCTGCCCTCCGCGTCACTATCTCGGGTTTAGGTATTTTTTCAAAGCTGAAAAAACTTAGTTGTTTATTTTTTTTCAGATTCTAAAAGTAACATATCCTTATGTTCTTAAACCAGACAAGGCAAAATGTAAAAAAAGAGAAAGTAAAAATTAGCTCCCTGGTCACACCACCCATGGCTAATAATTTGATGTGTCCTACCAGACATTTTCCTATGCTTCATGGGTATTTTTCTTTTTAATAAAGTGGGGTTATGTTCATACTTATAAACAGCTTGAAAAATTTACCTTATTTATGCCTATTTTAACATATTAGGAAAATGTAATTTTCATAGCAATGCAGAACTCTATGTATAGATGCACATCGTAATTACATGGATGCACTATGCTCTATTTAACCCACTTTCTACTGATGGACAGTTCAGAGTTTTCCAACTTTGTGTTCTTGTAAACAATGCTGCAAAGGACATCATTGTAGCTATACTTACACCACTTGCTCATTTGCTTACCTAGGAAAAAATTCTCAGACGTGAGAATGTCTGAGTTTAGGAGCACGCTCGCTTTAAAGGCTTTTGGTCCACATCGACAAACTGCCCTCCAGAAAGGTCTGCGCCACCAGCAACGTACGCGAGCGCTCATTTCAATGCAAGCAGGTTTATGCAAAGACAGACCAGTACAGAGTATCCTTAATACACCCAAATGTTAGCAACAGCCTTTGCTTTATGCTCCAGTGAAAGGCAGCATGTTAACATTTCTAACTTCCCACACACCCGATTAGAACATATTTGAAATGCTGCTGACTAGCAAAAAGTCATACCTAACCGCCCACTGGATTGTGATAAAAGCATAACAGTCCGTCCGCTGCTTCTGAGAAACGGCAGCAGATGCGGCACGAAGCAGTCTGCGGCGCTCTCTCCCCACTACAAAGACGGCGATGTTCCCAGATGATTCAGAGGCAGCGTGGGACCTGGACTTCCTCTGAATCATCTGGGAAAGATTAAACCACGTTTATTAGAGTTTTAATCAAATGCTTTTCATTTCATTTTTCAAAAACCAGGTGACCACAAATGCTCTGTGAACTACCAGAATCCATGACTTTCCCACCCTGCTGTGTGTTGGCGGGTGGACTGGGGAGTAGTCTGCTCCAGTTTTTGGTGGCTGCCTTCCCTTATCTTATGGCAGAAACGCTTGGAGAAAGGTATGAGAGACCACACAGCAGGGGGCCGGGCTGCATCCTATAGACCATTGCATTTTTACACATTTGCTCTTACTGCAGAGCAAAACCGTTTGTCAAGTGTTCGGGAGAAAGAAAGAGAAATGGTGTGCGTGTATGACTAAGTGTTAAACAATCTCCAAAGTCCGTAATTACCACACGATGCTGTTAGACCGTGTCGGTGGTACGAACAAAGTGGAGAGAGACCTGGCTGTTCTTCCACTCCCAGAACCACAGCTGGAAGGCTCCGGTGTTAAATTATAAGAAAAACCAGATCCAGGCGATGGGAAAACTCTCCTGGAATGCTGTGGCTTTCACACCAACAGCGTTTTCAGTCTCTTACCACCGGCGGGCCCCAGCCTCAGGATATTCAAGTCACAAGATAGTCACGTTAGGTGCTGTGCCTTTTCGATGGAAAGTTCAAATCAAGAAAAGTACTGCAGCTGTGGCACATGAGGACATCACTGAGGAATCGGCGTCTCCGTGTTTCCACGGGCCGGGGTCTGCATGAATGCCAGACGAGAGGGGTAGGACGTGACAGGAGCTTCCACAGGAAGACATGGGAACGGCGTGAGTGGTCGCCTTGCCTCATGCCCTCCTCACCCTGCCATCCTAAAGATTTCTGAAGACCTGTGCAACGTGACAAAATCTCATCCACAATCCAGGTGGTTTTATTTTGTTTTTACCCCTTGTGGCTCATGGTTTGAAGAACGTCACTCTTACTTCCTCTCATTTTGTCTTTTTTTTTTCCATTTTGTTATTTTCTGTTTTGAGATGATAATACACAATCCTTGACGTCTTCAAGTAAAAATGCCAGCAATAGTACTTAATTAACAAAACAAGATCTCTTATCAGGAAACGGCATTAAAAA